TAATGTTTGTAAAAGGACAATCTGTAGAAAAAGTCCTACGCTGTTCCCCTCGGCCCTCTCCCTATCTGGCCTTCCCTCTTTGTCCTCCTCCACATTGTCCCATTTTTCTGCATCCTCACCCTCTGACCTCTGACCCAATGTGTCCCCTGGCCAATCTCCCCTTTGGTTCCTCCTGTAGTGCATGGCCTGAGTATGGATAGGATCACCCGGGGGGGGATCACCCCGCCCTCTCACTTCTCACCTCCACTTCCACAGACAAGGCATGAGGCTCACGCACGGGTATACACACAACCACACTCATAGACACACATCCTCACACACATGGGTGCATGAAGATCCTGATGTATGTGGAAAGAAGCAGTCCACTTGTGGGGGTTAAAGTTTGGGCAGGTTTATTTTTTTCTTTTCTTTGCCTGGGGTTGTTTTTAAATGGTTAGAAAAAGCTGTTTTACTCGACCTTGTTTTTAATTTTTGTTTTGTACCCCTGGGCAGATGTTTTTGGATTGCCATGTGCGATGGATGTGACATGTATCTGGTCCTGTGTGCTTGTATAATATATACATACAATACAAAACGAACATGCATACATACACAGTTTATATATTACTTTTCCTTATGTATAAAAAGTATATATAGATATATGTATATTAACTACAATGGTTCAGAAATCATTTATGGTGAGCTCATATCTGGCAGTGCAGTGGCAATATTTGCCGCTGCCTAAAGACAATAGATTTAGATAAGGTGGTGTTTTTGTTTTCTTTGCTGGAGTGTGGTTAGATTCCAGCAGTCACTTCCCTGTTCTCTCGTGTTGTCTGTATTAAGGCTGTAGATGCATTTTAGGGCATTGCTCTATTCCCCGTCTTTGTACGACATTGTCTGTAACAGTGTTTCTGTGACAGTGCAGCGTCCAGACAAACATCTTCTCCCCCTCTGCTCCCCACCTCCTCTCCCTCTCCCTTCCTCTTTTCTCTACGTCTCTGTGAAAAACTCAAGATGTTTCTTAACCCTTTTCTTTCCTCGACCCCTTGAGAGGTCCCCCCCCCCCCCCCCCCCCCCCCCCCCCCCCGGACTGTCTCCTGTGTTGTGACCACTGACTGAAGTGTTAGCCTAGCGTTCTTTCTCCTCCACCTGCCGCACATAGAGCCACTCGGTACAGTCTGTCGAAGCGTCTTATTTGCAGAGAATACTCACTACATTTAAAAAAAAAAAAAAAAAAAGAAAAGAAAAAAGCTGAATTTGTATATACAGTATAAATGCTCCTCACCAAAATTCTGTATGACTTGTATGTTGTTTTTTTTTATGTTATGTTGATTCTTTTTTTCCATGTTGTTTAAGGTATGTATATATGCAGACCCATGTACTGTTTATGAGCAAAAACAAAGAGGGTAGGGAAAGAAATGAAAAGAAAAAAGATTAAAAAACAATCAGGGCAGAACTGATATGATGTTTATGGATATTGTAGATGATGTTGATGATCAGCTTTATCCAGCCATATGTTCAATCTTACCTGTACAGTACAGTAGATGACAGCTGTATTATTGTAACAAGAACTAGTCATGTATAGTGTAACTATAGTTTGGAGTGCCTTTGCTTTCATACACCTTCGCCTTGCCCCCCCCCCTCACCTCCCCTGCCATCACCCCCCACCCATCCGATTGTGACTCTCCCTTCGGTGCTGTTGAATGTCCTGCTATCCTGCGACACACACATTCACACCCTCCCACTTGATTTTCAACCCCCCGTCACTCGCACCTCTTCCCCTCTTTCATCGCACACTTAATGTAATATACAGTACATTGTTAATTGTAAGGATTATTTTTCCTTAACTGAAGATACAAGTAGATGAGTGTTTATTTTAATAGATGTTTTATCTTGGACACACATGCACGCACAAACATGTATACCACAGTCCTGGCATGGGCTCCGGGGCATGAAGTGGGTTGTACGGGGAGGGTCGCGGATGGCAGCAGGGGGTTAAAAAGGCCTCATATACTGTATATATACAATACAGTACAGTTTCTGTATTACTCACAGTGTTGGTTCTGTTACCAAAGCCAAACTAAGATGTAGTTGTGATGAGCCATCCTCAGAGGCAGTCTTGTTTCCTGTCTCTCTTACTCTTCTTCTTCTCTTTCTGGATATTTTGTTGTTCCTCTGTCCTCTTGCTTGTTCTCCTTCCTGTCCGTGTACTTCGGAGGGGGAATTCAGTAGCACCTAAGGGGTCGAGTCATGTAGCCTCTCTCCTGTCTCCTGCTTGCTGTAATTTTGCATTCATGAACGTGTTGCTACCCTCCACCGGAAAAGTTTGACCACCTCACCTTATCCCTGGCTCCAGTTCAATAAAAACACCACAAAGGTTACCAAAAAAGAAGTAAAGCGAATATATATGCGAGCATAATCTGTTATGCTAGCATATATATACCAGTTTGATATGCTAACTGGGGTTAAAAAAAGAAAAATCATAGAAAATACTACAAAAACATCCTGTATAACAGTACTACTACTTGAATGCCTCTGTTTGTGACTGAAATTTTTATTTCTTTTGTTTATTTTTTTTTCTGTTTGTTTTGTTTTTTTCTTTTGTTCTGTGAAGGTATGCTAAATGTGCACCTCTGTAAATATTCCCTCTGCGTGCTCTGAGGAATAGTTCCCTGGTACTGTAATTTGCATTAAATAAAGAGTAGGATAGCCTGGAAATGATCAAGCTCCTTGTCCGCTCCGTCTTCTTTAAGTGAGAGTTCACAATGGACGTCAGAGTCGGTATGTATAAAGCCTGTTCAGAGTCTCAGTCATCATTTATGACCCACTCTGAGTGTGTTGCTGTGTATTTTTTAAAATACATTAAAAGTAGACACAATAATTAAGAATAAAATTCAAGGTGCAATGCAAACTACAGTAAATCCATGTGCCTAACATAACAGAAGCAGTATGTACACACTGCACAGTACAAAATACAATATAAAAAACACAGTAGCTGCCTTGTACAGTGACCAAGTTACCAGTGCAGGTGCCTTACATAATAAAAACAGTAAGTTCACACTGCACGGTATTGAATACAATATAGAAGGCATAATAATCATCTTAAAAAAAGACCAGATTACCCATGCAAAAAAACAGTAAGTGCACATTGCATGGCCGAAAAACAATATGAAGTACAATTACTGTATTTTTCAGCCTTGCACAATAAACAAAGCAGGCACAGGCTGCACAACACTATTAACAGTAAGAAATATATAATAACTACATTACACATGGCAAAGTTAGCAGCACATGTACCCACGAGGGTAACTGCAGAGACTCAGAAGCAACAGCTACATACTATAAAAAATGTGATTAAGTTGAAAACGAATACAAAATCTGTGACAATTCTTTCACTACTTAGGCTACAACATGAAAAGGTTCACAAGCTGATGGCTCCAGCATGAATATAATCAAATGTTTACATTTGATTGTATGTAGGTGTGATTCTTCCAAATGTTAACATTAAACACATTTATATTTATATGTATTATAGCAAGACCATGAGTCTGCAGCAGTGATATTTAAATCACGGGTACTGGGTGGCCCACTGACTGTTTTCTAATTCACAATATTATTGTATTTTTTTGTACTTTGAATTAAAAAAAAAAAAAAAATTCTAGGGAGGGATCTGTCAGACTCCCTTACAGAGTCCTGGATTAAGCCCATACTGCCACCAGACCCTTGAAATGCCCCCAACTGACCCCTGGCTTCATTTCATTTTGCAAAGTGGCCCCCAGGCAAAGCAAGTTGAGTATCCCTGGTCTATAGACCGAGCAGCTCTGTGAGCTCTGTACTAAAACACAGCAGCGCTTTGAGCTAAATGCTAACACCAGCATGCTAACATGATCACAATGCCAATGCATACATGCTAATGTTTAGCAGGTGTAATGTTTACAGTGTTCACCAACTTAGTTCTGTGTGTTAGCCGAGTAACATTTGCTGATTGGCACAAAACAAAGTGCAGCTGAGGCTGATGGGGATGTCATTAGTTTTGCAGTATATGGTGATAAACTGAAGTACAAAACAAATGACCAAATGATGGGGCTTCATGAAAAGTCAGAGGAGCACCAAAGTTCTTACAACATATCCTAAGAGGAACATGGATGTCAGCACCAAATTTGATGACAATCCATCCAGTAGTTGATTCCACCACAAGCACTAATGTCAACCTAATGATGGCGCTAGTGGGAAAAGAAAGAAGAATACCAACACCAGTAAACTGCATCCTCTTGGCACCATGAATGTTATGTCAAAATGTCATGACAATCCATCAAACAGTTGTTCAGATATTTTATGGACCAAAGTGTCAGACTGAGAGACTGACATTGCCATCCCTTGAATTGAATAAAATATCTGGATATTGATATTGATATTGCAGTTAAAATGTCTCAGATTAAGTTTTCTTAATATAAGGCATTATCGAGTCTTAAATTGTCTTAAATTCAGATTAAATATTTCTGTTCATATTACCACAGAAATATCTCCAGCCTGACAGACCCAATGACTGTTGACAATCATTGGACTGACCGAAGAATTGCAATAATAAATAGCATTTACGACAGCGATGAGATTTTGTTTTCTTTTTACATTAAACACAATAAAACTTAAATTCACCCAATTATTGCCATTTTTCCTTACTGTTCATTTTGAACTGACATCAGTGTGTTTAAAAGAGTACTTACACATAAGTGTCACACACACGCATATATATATATAAAATGTAATTCCACTGCAGGTTTGCTAAATTTCATATAAGATGGTATTAGAAAGTTCTTCAAAAAAAGACTTACATATAATTTGGTTATATCTGTAGACACCCTGGCACCATTACTCAAAAGTTTCATAAATACCAACCTAGAATTTTTCAGTGGCACCAACTAGCCTTTGACTTAGTATGGCCTCAGGGGGGCAGTGTTTGTCTTACTTTGCTGTTAGTGACCCTTAACGCACCATCACACACTTGAACTTGAGCAGTTTTAATAACACTAAGTGTAGAGCATTTCTGGCATCAAAACACAAAACACAACTTGAGGTAACAAATATAAAACACATTATTGTCTTTGCAGCAACAGGTTTTTAAATTATCTGAGAAAAAATACTTCACAGTCTCTGACAGTTCTGTGTGCGACATCTAGAAAAAACATAAAACCTCACAACTTTAAGTCAACATTCATTCGTGGAGACAAAGTCTGTACTTACTATAAGATAAACAAGTAACACACAAATGGCAAATCCACCATAATCCACCTGTACTGTACCCAGTTAACAGAACAACAGTGGGTAGTGTGCGGAGAACAGATGATAGTTTACATTTCAGCAGGACTCAGACAGTGGGATTAACGATCATCTTCATCTGTTCAGGATTTTGTGTGGTGTATGCTGTAGACATCACATGCATTCTTTTGGATTTTGACACATATGTACATGAGCACATTCAGCTGGTCCCGTCCATGTACAGCAGACGTCAGTATTACAAGTCACTACAGGGGCTTTTACTGACCATCTCCATTATGAGAGGTGGGATAACATTTGGCTGGATGTCCTGGATCTGCAGAACCTGTTTACTGTACTCCTCGGTCATTGTCCTCATCTCGGTGAGACAGGCCATCACTTTGGGGTACAGCAAGCTGGAGACACAGGGGAAACAAACCAGCTTCAAGCTGTGAAACATTTCAGGGTGAGTGGACATGGTATTTCACTCACTGTTTCTCTGGTCCTGTCCTCCTGCAGTCAATCCAGGTTTTTAGTGTCAGCGCCAAGTTTTCATGAAGCTGGTCAATCACACTGTGTTGCTGCACACCTGGACGGTCTGATAGATCACATAGAAACACATCTCTACACAACCAAAGCAATCTGATGTTGAGAACATCTGAAAATACATTTTTTTGGCTGGGTACAAATGCACACAGTTTCTAGGGTTTAAATATTTACAGGGTTCATGAATGATTGATTATCATGGACTGGGGTGAGGACCTGCTGCTACCTGGAGAAAACAGGGACATGGCTTGCACAAGGACGTACTCCTCCTCCTGCAGGCCCAGTTTGCGCAGTGTGTGGTGAAATCTGAGCAGAGGCTCTAACAGAAGCGGTTGGAAACCCGCTGAAGAACACAGGTGAACAGAGGTCAGTGACATGACAATAACACACACTGATACAGGTAAAAACATGGAAATTAACTAATTAAATCTACTCAAGTGCTGTACTTGGGTACAATGTTAATGGACTTGTACTTTGCTTGACTTCAATTTTTCTGCATTCCACACTCTATCTTTTTCACACTCAAATGCTAAAAGCAAGGATCAAAATTAAAATATCTTTTTTCCTCCATGCATTTTTCTGTCTTTTTAAAACATTACCCACAATGCAACTCACTCACATGCAGAAAGATCTTTAATAAATGTGAAAATGTTGAATCAGTTTGTCTTGAGAGCAGCATTTTTGACACCACTATGTCATTGTAGGGCAGAAAATAATTCTGTGGCAAACTACATTATGCTACATTTACCATGACGGCTATTACATGTAATTTTTTACTGTTGACTTTTATTTTGTTTAAAGGTCCCATTTTGTAAAAGGTTAGATTTCTCTCTTTTTTCATTATGAAGCAGGTATAGGCACTATATACATACTGTGAAAGCAGCAAATGCTAAATCCACAGAGAAATGCACTCAGTCTGTATTAAGAATTTGCGCCTTTAAACGAGCTGTTAGGACTTCTGTGAAGTTGTGATGTCACAACTATACTTTATAAGGGTAGAAAGTGTCACTGCAGTGCTGTTACAGTCATTTCCTGGCTGCAATGACAGTGCTGAGATGCCACGAGCGCAAATATGGAAAGACACTGACCAATCGGAGCAGACTGGGTTTTTTGACGAGGGGGACTTCGAGACAGGTGCTAATAGACCCTTTTACTGTTAGTTACACTATGACGTTTTTAGGTGGGCGGGGGCTTAGCTGGAGGCAAAACAATTCTCCACAGACATTAGCTATCGCTAGCTAGCAAGTTCCGTTGGCTTGTTTCAGACAATGGAGGAAGATGATGGGAGTGGTGCATGCAGGAATATTCATTCTGAGTGTCAGAGCGCAATCTGGCACAAACTCATTCGTAAATTCAGAGTGATGTTGGTATTTCCTGTTTGGTTATCCAGACCACCGCACTCTGGGCACTCTGTCTGGGGAGTGAATGTGTGATTAACTTATAGACATATAAAGCTCAAATTCTTCAATCCACAGGGCTCTCGATTTAGTGTAGAGCATCAGACTGAATTTACGGACACTCCATGTCACGTCACTCACTCTCCAGGGCCACTAGTGTTACTTGAATAAGTAAACACTGACCAACGGGACCAGACTGGCCGACCTGTATGCTCTCACTCAGTGGATGGATGATGTCACAGGAGGCTTTTCGGTTGATTACTATGCCAATCTTACAAAGGAGGACGACACTTGGAACGTTTTCCTCCAGTTTCGTTTTGCTATCGAAGCTAACGTTAGCTAATGTGCTAAAAAGTTAGCCTTACAGAGAAATCCAATATTCCTCTTAATACCTCCCCAGTTTCTGATGAGGTGGACATGATAACCCTTAATACACATAATGTTACTCATCTCTACAACAGGAAATACTTTTTCCTTAACCTGATATGAAGTGTGTGCTGCAAAGGCGAGTCCTTCTATCCAAATTTTTTTAGTTTGTTTGCAGTCAGTTCATCCCATGGTTCAGTTATGTTGACTCGTGAGTTCATGGCTAATGTAGCATGAAGAATAAGCACTGTTGCCATGGTTACATACAGTTAAATACACCTTGCGCTCTATTTGAGGGGTCCTAATATGTACTTATAACAGCCGGCCCTTCAGAATAATATTCTGTGTGGCCTACAGCAAGTATGCCCAGGGACATTTTGAGAGACAACGCAGACAGTGTAAGTGCCAGCCACAGGCACGGAGCTCAAGGCTGAAGGACGATGAATGAACACCACCTGCTTTTCATTTGATCCTAAGAAAAGGTGGAGACATTACCAGTCTGACAACATTCTGCAGAGCGTTACACCTCTGTGAACACGAGATATGAGACAGGAGCACACACATCTGTCTGAGTCTCACAAACAAAAAATACTACAACACACTATCATCTTGCAACTTCATATATATCTTAAAGGTGCCAGACTGGTGGAAACCAAAACAAGTGAAATGAGAAACGAAAGCCTCCACATCGACTTCTTCTATCAGACGTACTGCGTCTGTAAATCAGCGGTACTTGACATGTCTGAGGCTGCTTTTGTTTTGATTACTTTGAAAACACCTATAACCCAGATTCCTCTCATACACACACACCTCTGTGCTGATATTTCAGCTTCAGATCATATTTGTGCCCTTAAAACACTTATCTCTCCTGTCTCTCTTGATCCAGTCACATCCAGTGCTTTTGTGTTTACAATCCACGCTCCAGTAGTTAAGCTGCAACCATTACTGATTGTATTTTGTATTCAGTACAGTGCTGTAGACTTGAGTAGACTTTAGCCTCCATATGATTCCAGATCTTTCCTTAAGGCTGCTATAATCAATATTTTTATACTAACAATGGATCAAATAACTATTTGTATGTAAAATGAGTTGCTGGTAGTGACAAACCCAATAAAAAACATCACCTGACTTTTTATTTTTGAACCGAAAAGCTCTAATTAACCCACCTTACTCGCTAGGGTCGCAGCAATATACCAGTTTTAAGGTACCCCATGGGAATCTCCCCTTTATTTCATTTTTTTCAAAGGGGAAACTTTTTACACATCCCTCCATTAACAAAATAGATTCAAGTTTCAATTATAGTAATAAAACGTTTGTTCAACCAAAAATAACCCTTCCTTTTTTCAGTTATGATGTTGAGTATTGGGTAGAAAAGTGTTTTTGTGGATCATCATGATGTCACAGTGAAGCTGACCTTTGACCTTTTAGATATAAAATGTCAGCACTTCATTATTTAATCCTATTAGACATTTGTGTGAAATTTTGTTATAATTAGTTCATGAATTCTTAGATATGATAAAAAAAACAAACACATTTTGTGACGTCACAGTGACCTTTGACATTTGATCACCAAATTCTAACCAGTTCATCGAGTGCAAGTGGACGTTTGTGCCAAATTTAAAGGTATACCCTCAAGGTGTTCAAGTTATCTCGTTCACCAGAATGGGACGGACGGACAACCCAAAAACATTATGCACCTTGGCTGAGGAATAATAATAAAAAAAAACATTAAAGGAAATTATTTTCAACATTCTTTTGGCAAACAAACTCAACACTGATGTATATAACTCAGACAAAGTGTCTCTTGCTCTTTCCCTCCCTTGGCCTCTCTGTTGATGCTCTGTGCATAAATAAGATTAATAACCTAAATAAGTAAAAAGATTTAAAACAATTTCCAGCACTAGATTCATTTGAAAAGCCATGGCAAATGACTTCTTAACTTCCCCACAAAGATTATTAATTGTTCCAAACTACAATGGATTTAGACCTACTTGATACTTTTATACTCATATTATAGTTTTGTGTCCTGTGCTGCAAACCTTTAAACCTCTGTAGCTTCAGTGCTGAGTGCAAAAAGTTATTATACAGCCCTGCTATTTATTTTATAGAATTTTTCATTTACATTTTGTGCAGCTGTATATTTTCAAACAGGGGAATAAAATCGCCCAGCTGTAGTAGGTAGTCTTACCTCGTACAGCGTCATCTATGCAGTACGTAATATGGCCGCATTCCCAGATGCCAGTTTTTGCGTTGAACACCATGTTGAAACGAATCTGCATAATTTCAAATGTGGCTCCCTTCAGCAGAGAAATTTGGTCTCCGATGCTTAGAGATCTGTAAGAGACACACGTATAGCTGTGAGTAAGTTTCAATCAGATATCAGTTATCGAGAGAAATGAAACTGCATTGAGGCACACATTTACCGGAAGTCCCGAAGACTTTTGGAGAAACTAATGATGTCCTGTATCATGTAAGTGGTGAGGTCAGCCACGTGCGGAAGAGCGGTGAAAACGCTGCCTTCTCTGACCTCTGGGTTTTCTTGTTTTTCAAAGGAACCGGAGAGAGTGGAGGAGGAGGGCGAGAGGGAGGAGGAAAAGGAGGAGAGGGAGTTTTCAGACTGGTTGTACTCACTCACAGAGAGAACGTTTCTATCCATGGGCTGTAAAAAGAAAGGCGTCACTCAGACATGTTAAAACAATGACGAGAGACAACAAATCAAACATGCTGGCAGTCATTCACACACCCTGAAACCGCTGAAGCGGTAAAAGGCTGAGTCAAAAGAGTTGCGGTGGCCACGGAGGAGCTCCTGAATGGTTTCCTCTTGTTGGGATGAGAGCTGTGCTGGTGCTTCAAGCATTTTCCTTGTCTTGATTCTGATCCTCCTCTCCAATACATCCTCCTCAGACATGACCACTACAAGGACACAAAATCCTGCATGTACTTTATTTCATCAATGTAAATTAGAATGATGAACAGGAAATGTTTGTGTTAAAAGAATATGGGATCAATTGTTGTGTGTTACTTACTTTCCTGGCGCATGCCGATAGCTTGGCATTTACGGAGGCGGCAGGCTGGACACGACCGTCTGTTGTTTTTGGTTATACTGCATTTGTTCAGGAACCTACAGCGGAGCTGCCCTGACTTCTTTATGGCACGTCTGAATGTATTTAAAAATCCATTTAGTAACAGCTTACAAACAATCTGAAGTTAGAAATCACATTCAAGAAAACACGTCCATCCATCAATGAATTTAAGGGCATCATAAAGAATGTGTTGACAGAGACGTGTGCTTGTTTTTCTTGAGAGGCCACTATGTTTGAATAGTTTAATTGTGGATTTTTGTATTACATGTTGTAGTTGTTGCATTTTAAATGTATTTTGATTGGCTGCTACCTCGACCAGGTCTCTGTTGTAAAAGATATTTTCAATCTCAATGGGACTTCCCGGTTAAATACAGGTTACATCATACTATAGTATTACTGTGTGCCATGTATGTATGTAATGACAATACACCAGCCAGGAAATAATTCAGGAGACTACTGAATGGAAAAATAAGACAGTGGTTTTCAAACCTTTCCAAGGCACACTAATGGGCAAGCCAAAATCTCAAGGCGCACCTGTATTTATATCTGTGCACAATAGCTTCTATAATATGTGTTATCACTCTTATGACATAAAACAATAAATATAAGACAGGTAGCTCTCATGATATTGTCTTGCTCATGGCTTTCTCCCCTTTATTGTTTTCCTACCTCACACTGGCTGCCAGTCAGGGCTTTTGATGTGTCACACACTTATAATTCCCATGCGTGAACAGTAACAAAAAGGTCCCCTGTGAGGATTTTTCAGTTCTTTTCACAATGAATGTGATGAGTATGAATGTGTTTCTTATACAAGTCAATGTGGCTTTACTTAAGAAAAGCGAGAAGCACGTTGTCACACCTCTCCTATATCACAGATGTCCCTGTCAGTTGCTATAAATAACACAACCAGGAAGTAGAATAAAGACTGGAATGAGGGAGAAGATGCAGCTGCATGTGTGAAACAACCTCACCTGAAGAAGCCCTTGCAGCCTTCGCACGTCAGAGCGTTGAAGTGGTAACCTTTGGCCAGATCTCCACACACACCACAGGCTCTGGGCTCATTGTCTTCTGTCAGCTTTTCTTCCTCATCGTCATCGTCTTCTTCATTGTGCCGTGTCAGCGCTTCTCGGATGCTCTGCACTCCAGTGTCGCTCTTTGTCATTCTCACCTATAGGTGATGATCTGTCATCAGTAACTTCATGATTCATTTCAAGTTGAACATTGTTTTTTTTTTTTTAGAACAAATGGGGTTGTGGATTGTGAGGCTTTAAAGCTACAGAAGGTAAATCTTCATAAATATAACTTATTATCATACTGTCATTTTGCAATCTTTGAAGAAAGGTAAAGTGACGCATAACCACATATTGGCTCAGCTTGAGTATTTTAGTCTATTAAAAGCCTTTTAGTATATTTCATTTCCTGTGGCTAAATGGTCACAGCAGGGAACCACTGCAAACTCCAACAAAGAATATTAAATAACACCTTTAAGTGCTCTGAAGTGTTGACCAAAGGAGTGGGGACTCCTTTTACCTCTAATGACACTTAAAGGAGCAATAAGCGAAATCGTTTCACCGCTAGATTCGCTGTCGTGCACTGCCTGTAGAGCAAAACAAAGCGTGTCATGAGCCACTCCTCCCTCTACCTCTGCTCTCCAACACCCCCCACTCGCCTCGTCTGTGCCGGCGAGTACCGCAGCATCTCCACGGACTATCACATCCAGACGGACCCGGTGTTTCTTCCGCAGGCTCCGCTTCACTCAGCTTCACTCAGCTGCCCGATATACCCGCTGCTTCTTCCCACATTAACCTGAATAACAAACCAGGGCTTGGTGCTCCGGTTGGATCCAAACGGAGAGCCGCTAGCTGGGAAGCTAGCGGAGGCTAACTGGCTGTGTTAGCAGCTGAGTGAAGTGGAGCATGAGAAGGAAGCACCGGTTAGCCCCCGCTTTCACTGCAGGCAGATTCACTCGCCACAGGGGCGAGAAAATAAAACCTAAACAGCCAACTTAGTTTAGCAGTTAGCAATGTCTTTCACTCACTCTGGGTCTCTGCTGTGTTTAGCTATTTCCCTGCTTTCCTGTTAGCGTTAGCACTACTCGGCTGCCACACTAACGCTCCAACTCCAACTGAGCCAGGAGCCGGGCTCACGGTCTCACGGAGAAGAGTTGGAACATTAGCATGGCAGCCCATTAGTGCTAACATCCCCACGCTTCTCTGCCAGGCTCAGTGAGTCGGAGCCGAGAAGCGTGGGCACGTTAGCGTTAGCACTAGTCAGCTGCCATGCTAATGTTCCGGGAGCCTGCTTCTCGGCTCCGGCGAGCTCTAGCGTGGGGACGTTAGCATTAGCACTAGTCGGCTGCCATGCTAACGTTCCGGGAGCCTGCTTAAGCTTGGGGACATTAACGTTAGCACTAGTCGGCTGCCATGCTAACGTTCCAACTCTTCTCCGTGAGGCTCACGGAGAAGAGAGGAATGTTAGTGTTAGCTCCCAGAGTTAGCACTAGAGCTACTACAGCTACTGGAGTAGCTTGCAGCTATGGAGCGCTTCTACCAGCTCTTCTAGTCACTGAGCCTCGCCTCCATTTCAGCAAATATATTACATTTATTACAGGTACCATCATCATTGAAGTAGGCAGGGGAATAGCTAAACACAGCCGCCAGGCTGCCCGCCGGGCTACATTTTTCAATACTAATTGCAAATGTTAGCTGGGCTGCCGGGCTACTCACCTAATACAACCGAAACGCCTGACCCATTGCTGGGACCGAGCTGCTAATAACTCAAGCTCCGGACATTAACCCATGCTACGATTGTAACATTAAATTTAATTGAATCGACATAGTGACATGTGCTTAACGTTACTTTAACACTAATTAAAACAGACATTTGACTTTATGTTGTACCTGTCCAGGAGAAGAAGAGGTATCTCCGAGTCAAATTGTAGCCCCTTTAGCTCTTGCAGTGCTCTCCACCTTGGAAATGCAAGACCAATGTTAATCCGAGTTCTGTCCCTTTCATTATCCGTCAACTTCACATGAACGTACATGAACGCGTAGCCGGACCGGCTTGTAAACAATGGGCTGGAGATCAACACAGAGAGAGGGTGTGTGAGGTCATGCTATACTCCAGATGAAATTACACCTCTAGTTCTTCCCATAGCAATTTTTTAATTCCTTCAATCTAGAAATGATGAATTTCGCTTATTGCTCCTTTAATTATGAAGTTGCCTGATCTGTCACACTGTCGTCATTTTTAGTGACGTTTATCTGACACTGAAATCAGGCAAATGGCAACATGTCTTATGTCTTAACCCAGTGTGATGTGTCTTTAAACTCAAGGGAATCGCTTTGTGATGGAAAGTGATAAGTAATCATATATCCTCCTAAGACACTGTGTCCTCATATGAGGACATCACACTCTGGGTTTACTTGACCTTATACTTCATTCAACTTTACTTAGACCTGTTGTCCTCGTTTGTGGACACTTTTTATACCATCTAGTGGTAGTGAGAGCACAATACAATAATCCATCTCTGCCAAGTCCACAGCCGACCCCGACACAAAAGTGGACAAGGTCCAAAATCTGATCACATTTTATGGTTGAAACTTGTTTATTTATGATTAATAATGGTATAGTTTGATATGGCAACACATTTCAATGTCACAGTAACAAGCTAAGACACTGTTTATTAGGAAGTCCCCATTTGAAGACATTGGCACTTTATTATCTTCTCATTTGATGAGATTGGGACTTAATTGTCGTTGACAGTGTTTAGTTTTTTTTACTTATGCGTATCAATAACTACATAATACGGAAGGCGTCTGGGGGTTGTCCCCCAGAAATCAAACAATTCATTTCCTGCTTTATGGTGATTTGTTCTGCATCAAGTGTAGAGTAAAACACACAATTCAGGCAGCAGGTGACAATACAAAATATGAAAATATATAGTGGTATATAATACAGTAATTCTCTTTTGTATTTAATAGGCTAGGGGGATTTTTTTATCTCTTAACTTACATTACTTTTTTGGATAGTGAACATTTGTTTCTTTTATATATGCACTGTATATTTTCTTATGCAATTTAAGTATTTTCAAAGTGCTCTCATTTGTTAGTTAACATGTCTTGGTGCAAGATCATTTTCATCACAGTCTGCAGAATTTTTTTTTAAGTAAGGGGACAAAATTGGCTCTTTCAGATGGGGACATGTCTCCTAATTCTCCAGTGTAAATGACACCTAAACGGAGCGCAGCCAGAATGAATAACCTACTTTCGCTTACACAGCCGTGTGGCAGTGATTGGACATCGGAGAAAACATGTATCGATTCATAATAAGAAGCATGTGAAATGTATTTTTTGTTTGAGCGACGCACCTCCACTATCCTTGGTAGGCAGCAATAACTTTGTGACACATCAAATTGACATTTTCGGCAAGGTAAAAACCACAAGACACTCTCTGCCAACCTAACCCAAACAGACCTACTTTCCCTCCCGCTCCTTTGCCTGGTTAAAGGTCGACTTTTTCTCAAACAGTGATCGAGATCATTCCACTCACCAACTTGGTGAATCCAGATGTCCAAACAGCTGTCTGTGGTTCACAGGGTGTCACCTAGCAGCGGTTAATCCAGGTGGAACTTGGATTCAGTGCGCCAGGTGAGGACGAGTTATCGGAAGGGCTCTTCCTGTTGGCCGTGTTGTTTGATGTTTCATACCGGGCTAGTCGCTGCAAGTATTCCTGGCTGCAGCTCACAGTAGGCTACTGGCCCGTCGCCAAGGCGGAGGCAGTGGGGTGCAATGCCCTCCCGTGTGCAGGTGCATGGCGTGCCCCCTCATTACGCACCCCTCAAAGTCCCTAATAAACTTTCAGATTAATAAGAGAGTGACTTACATTTGCAGCAACCACTGCAATATGGTAAACTTCATTCTCAGTAGTGAGGGTAGTTTTCACTGACCACTGTTGATTAATGAATGAGCGATGCACGTATTCCTCAGATACAGCAGCTGGGAGGAGAGATGATGAGCGAGCAGCAGCAACCCCTCTTATTCTTATGTGTAGGTCAATAGATTTTTCTGTCGAGTTACACTCCAACTCTCCCAGCCCCTGTCAGCCCCCAGTTTTTTTAATTTTAATTGCTGTGAGGTATCTTATAATATTTTGTACTGTGTGCTGTAGTCATTTATCTACAGTAGTAGTAGCTGTAGTCATTTAATCAGGATGGTTCACAGCGGTCAAGTGAGCTGTTCTTTGGATTTTGTTGTGCGTCTATTCATACGATTACGGTACCGGTGCTGGGCGTGACCAGAAAGGTGTTCACACACCTTGTAAAATGATACATCACCAGAGACTATATGGATATATTACATATAATTTGATTAAATGTGTTTTTTAGAAATGCGATGAATGTGTGAATGAATGAATAATAGTGATGAAATCCTCTAATTTTCCAAATGCTGATTTGCTAATATATATATATATATATATATATGTACACTCCGGCCACTTTATTAGGTACACGTGTTCAACTGCTTATTAACGCAAATAGCTAATCAGCCAATCACATGGCAGCAGCTCGATGCATTTAGGCATGTAGACATGGTCAAGACAACCTGCTGAAGTTCAAACCGAGCATCAGAATGGGGAAGAAAGGTGATTTAAGTGACTTTGAACGCAGCATGGTTGTTGGTGCCAGACGGGCTGGAAAAATCCAGCCCTGTGTCTGTACTGTGCTGCATTTGTGACACCTGCAAATGATAAGAGTTTTTCTAAATTGCATATGTAGAGTTTTTAACCCTTCATTTTAACCTCTTTCACAAAACTTTTATGGGACATTTTACAATCATAGTGATGACCTATTTATAAATTAATTTCTCTTGTCCCTATGTCTGTTTTAATGGCATTTCATTGCCGATTGAATATATATCTATGATCAGCTTATACATGGAAGCAATCTATCACACATATTCACAGCTAAATTGCTGTTAACAACAGCTGTTTGGCAGTTTGGGCCCAAATTTGACAGGAATTCACAACCATTTAAGTCACAACAGGCTGTTTGTTTGGAGCTTTTCTGCCCTCTTGTGGTCAACAATAACAAAAGACTGATAGATGCACTGTATTTCTTATAGTTCAATCAAGCTATAGTACATGTAAGTAGTAATAATCAAAAGCCTATAATTAACCCAGTTACCCACAATGATGATTATAGAACTTACACTTTAATAATATCAATAATAAATTTAACATCAGGCTTCATCTCAGTACACTGTTTGTGTTTTTAGTCCTCCGCTCATTTTGAATGTGGTGCTACCTCCTGCTCCACTCGGCTGATCTCCTTGAGGACTTGGTTGGCAGCTCTCTCAGAGGGACAGGGCAGCTGTGAGGCTCCGAGATTACTAGGAAGGATCCCAGAATGCTCTGCAGTTCCCTGAATGATGCTCCGAGCTGCCTGCAAGTGTCTACGCTGCCTCTGGTGCACTGGGAGAGAGAAATTACCAAGTTAGATTCAGGAAGCAAAGCATCTGCCCCTTAACTTTATCATTCAATTGTCATTTTTGTTTGTTTTTAATAAGTGAAATGGTCTTAAAGTTTGATATGATAATGTGTGAATAAAATGGAATCAGAAAAATCTCTCAAACCTCTTTGTCTGACAGAGATCTTCTCGACCTCTGGGATGAGGAAACTGTACACCAACTCTGACACAATCTCCTCCGACTGAAGATTGTTCCGGCTACTCAGACACACAAATTTGTTTATTGTCGTTTCAATTTCTGAATGTAAAGCATTAGCAGACATGCTGCAGCATCTCTTACCTTTCCTCCATGGCATAAGCAATGTCGTTGACCTCCTTTGCCTTCTTGCGGATGTCCTCTCTGGCCTGCTGGTCAGCTGTCTGTTCCATGGTCCCGAGGATGATGTCCTCTAAATACAAATCCACAGTTTCCTGGTGAACCTGCACCACCTGTGACATAGTGTTAAGGACACAAACACAAGCTAAGTATAACAGCATGTGCAAAACACACACACATATATTTTTCTTATAACTATCTCCTTTGCACCTTCATTACCAAAAAAATGGCACATGTACGCACTTGTCTAAAGATCTCATCTTCTTCTTTGCGTCTGCGCTCTTCTATCTGTCTCCTCCCGCTCTCCTCAGCCTCTCGTTGACGACGGTCTCTCTCAGCCAGTAGTATAAAGGCGTGGATCCTGCGCTCTTCCTGGAGGTGAATCAGCTCCTTTGACAATGTGTCGAACAGGAGTTCAAGCTCTGAACCGACCACTCCGGCCTGAGATGCTTCTACTTGAGAGGCCTGGGAGGATAGAGAGAAGGCGTGATGAGATTGTTTGGTGTTTGTGGAGTTTATATTGTGTGTGAATACGTCTGTGTTTCACCTTGTGTGTATGTTCATCTCTCTGTTTTATAAGGGTCATGATGAGGTCTTTGTCAGCTTTCTGTAGCTCTTGCTCCTCACTCTGCAGGGCGTGGACAGTCCTCAGTTCCTGGATGAGCTCCTGATAGTTCTCCTTGCCCTTAAACATCTGTACAACACAGGCAGAGGTGAATAGAGATGAGATTAGAACTTGAAACACATGCAAACATTTCTGTGCATGCAGACATGTTCAGACCTCATGTTGGATACTTCGTCCTCTCAGTAGTTTCTGCAAGTGGATGACTGCAAGCTCCATCTCTTCATCCCCCTAATGAGGGACATATAATTTCAGTAACATCATCAAAATTAAACATGTAGGATGAACAGGGTTAGTATCAGCTAGAGTCAGAGATATTCGCTGACCTCTGGTGGCTCCTCCACTCTGGGGGTGACAGGACGAGGAGCAGGCTTCTCCTTCTTGACAAGAAAACGCAAAGATCTCTTGGTCGCTTGCTCTCTCTCCGCCTCCCTAAGGGCCTGTGGAGCCACAATTAACAATCCATGTGTATGTAAATCTTATGTGATGTGCTTAACTGACATATTTCTTTCTGCCTTACCTTGTATTTCTCCATTAGTTCGACCTCTCTGCTCTCAGGGGGCTTCATCACATTCTTGATGCTGATTTTGCATTTTTGGTAGCTTGACTTGAGGACTGACATAGAGAGTCCTGCCTCTAGTTTTAGTAAACCTATGATTGACAAAAAAACACCTTAACAATAAAGGGACATTGTTATCTCTAACTAAATTCAACTTGTCCAAAAACAGAGATCCAGACCTTCACTTGTGTCTAAGTAGTAGTTTTTTAACTCCTTGTTGCGGGTGAATGTATCCCTGCGGCTCCCAGGGGCATATGGCCGAGAATCTGCATAGCTTTTGACAGGTTGCTCTCGCTTGCCCTCCACATTTCTCCTCTTAGCTTCCAGTTTTCTCAGCACTACAGACAAAATAACAACAAAAAATAAGACATGGATGAGAAAGCATAAACAGAACCCTTGAATAATACATTTATGATCAGAATATTGTGTTAAAGCAGAAACAGCGGTTATCTTACACCGGAGGTAGTCATTGTGAATCTTTTGTTGCTTGGTTTCTTTGTCTTTTAGGAGTTTAGAATACATCTGGTTGAGTCGGTCGTTTGTGACTTCTTTCTGGGCCTCATCTCTCCTCCTTAAAAGGTCCTTCAGCATAGCAAGACGAACATCTTGCAACCTGGTAACAAACCACAGACACAGAGATCATTGCAGAAGGGCAGGTTTTGTACGGTAAAGACACCTGTAACATCAAGAATTTTTGCACTTACGGTCCCCTCATCTTGAAGTAAATTTTTTGAAGGTTAAGATATTTTCAGGTTTTGTTCTATGATATAAAATGCATCAGTAAATGTCCCACTTGTGTATTTTGAAGCTTTTATGTGTTTTAAAAAATACGTTTGCAATTGTGGCGGAGTTTGTTTACAGCCTAAAATTAGCTGTTTACTTCTGGTGATTGCATTGACACTTTAAAAATCATAAAAGTGGTGTTCACTTGTGAAGAATAATTTGCTGAACCAAACCTGTAAGTATCATAAACTTTTCTTTGCCTCAGAGCTTATTTTCTGCAGTTATCTAAAATCAAATGGAAAAATTCCATCTGCTTTTTGTCGAGGGAACTAGGGCGATGTTAAATTCTGGCCTACAATAAAATCCCTGCACCACTGTATTAGCTCCAGTAGCATATGTTAGTGGAGATAAACTGCCTTCATAATGGAAGAACTGTTAACGTATTTGCAGTTTTCTAACTTTGGCTTCCTGGTGGTAGTATCAAAAAAGACAGCAACACAAGTTTAGGGACTTCACAGTTTGCTGTAGGACATTTGCAATAGCAGATAGCTTCAGATATCAATACTAGCTGGCTAATACGTACATGCTAACAGGTCAAAACTGTGCCACACACTGCACTAACAACATTTTAGGTATTTCGTGTTCTACTTGTCTTTTTCAGTTAGGTATAAAAGAAGCTGAATAATAGCGGTCAAGGGCAAGAACCACTTACTTCTGGATTTCTCCCTCTCTGAAAGCCCACTCTTTGACCTCCATCTCCTCCATCATACGTCTCCTTTTGTCCAGCTGACTCAGGTCATTCAACGGAGGAAGAGTGGCCTCCCACGCTCGTTTGGCTCGTGCCCGCTCTATCATTTCCACTTCTGCCAGGCCTGCAGGCAGACCACGACCTGAGGGAATGTCATCAGAGAGGCTTTACATTTAATTTTCATAAGTAGTAAGAGGCCTTGGCAAAATAATCATGAGACACTAATGATGCAAGCACAACCGAGCTGATAGGCACTGGTAGATTATTCAGCTCAGAGCACCACTAGGAGGGCTGAATACTTTTACCAAAGGTAAATGTACATTATACTAATGAAGATCTCAACAGTTGAGCATGTACCCCAAGTCAAAGCTGCCAGCTGCAGGAGCTCTGAGGGAGATGTCCCAGGTTGCACCACATACTCAGGGCTGTACGGGTCTGTTTGTGCTTCACTTTCTCTATAGTCTGTTTGGACCCCCACAGTGAAGTGGGTGGGCTGTTGCTCAGCATTCTGTCCACCAGTGGATACAAAGTCTTCTCTGATGGGACAAAAGGAGAGGATGTACCCTCTACCAGCAAAAAGGCACAACAGAAATAGATGGAAAATAAAGAAGCGTAAGAAATTGTTGAACTTACTGAGGCAATGCAAAAATCACACCTGGGAGAAGCTGCTGTCCAGAGGGAATCAGAGGACTGAAGGACACAGAATGCCAAATGATGTCAATATTTTATGTGAAAACTGCAGCATAGCATTAATCTATAATTAATTGTCATTACATCAGATTGAAATAACTGCTGCAAAGCCAAGTTACTATGATTGTATTCCACCATATTCACAGTATCAGAGTGCATTCAGGCCAAACAAACCGCTTAAAGTATTTCCAGCGATCAGCTCCGGTCACATGACACTCTTTCTTTTTCAGCCATGACTGAGCATTTGGAATAACCCTGTCAAGAAGATAATGCCAAGGGACCTAGTTTATATTTGTAATGAGTAACAGAGTTAACCTTGATTTAATACAACTCATCAGCTGCTGCTCATTAAATTGTTGTCTCTTTTGGTTTTACCCAGCCAGCTGCTGCAGTGCCTCTCTGCGCTGCTCCGTGTGGCCTCGCCAGCGACGATCAATAGAGGCTGGCACTGGGTCTGCAAGGTCCAGCTGAACAGTGTACCCTGGGTGGTGGGGCAGGTTACTAAACATAGACCCAAACTCAGGCACTCTCCTCTGAGAAGGGCAGAGAGAAATACTGTCAGCAAATGCATTTTACATTCAGTCCATTTCTTTTTTTCTCATGCATAAACAGTAACAACTGAGAAACAATATTGGCCATGGGTCGTAGTTGAGAAGGAGAGGTAAACAGCAATGGGTAAATTATAACTTGCATCTGAGTTATGCTCAGTTTGTTCAAATTTATTTATTAGAATAGTTTAGTTTATTTGCACATACGTGTATAGAAAATACAGGAAAAAGAAATTAAGTGAAAACATTGAGATAGTCACTCTCAAAAATCTCTTTTGAATTTTATTGAGATAAGTGGGACATGTGGCAGCCCAGGCAGTATTACAATTCATAGTGTGAGGGTAAATTAAGCTGTAGTAAAAAGTTAAAAAAACGGGAATGATCAAACTACTGGAGCAATATTTCTCAGACCTTATCAAGAATTATACAAAGACCCATTCACTTAGATCCTTTGATGGCGGTGTTAGGAACTGTGGACTCTAACCCTGTAAAGAACAGTGTGGAACACATCATGGTATCATTTGACTGCCCTCTGGCATGCAGATTGATCTTACTTAACTGGAAACAGAAAACTACACCAACACATTCAGATCTAATGAATGATGTAATGAAGCATCTGAAACTAGAGAAAGTTAATTTTTCTCTAAAAAACAAGAGGAGAAATTTTTACAAAATTTGGCAACCTTTTATAAACTTTCAATTATATGAAATCCTCTGACAAGGGTTAATTTAGCATACATCCACCTTTCCTACACCCTTCCCCCCTTTTTAACTTTATTATTTATTTTATTATTATTTTTTTAAGCTTTCCTAGATAGATTTTACTTCAGTCCCCCTCCTTTTTTGCCTTGTCCTAAGTCGAAGGTATTATGTGTGTGTACATAATAGTTTGTACGCTTTGTATATTATGTAAAAAAAAAAAAAAACACACAAAAAAACCCAGGAATGATCGACCCATAGACAAACTCTAGTTAAGATACCAATTGACTCCATAGTCTTTTTTACAAACAAGTTAAATATGAATATTACTGTACAAACAGCACAAAAATGCTCTTATCTAAAAAACTATTTGTCTGCTTAAAAGAGGGATTCTGGAAATAAAATGTCAAGCAAAGTTTTCACATATTTTAACCTTATCCTGTAAACAAGTCAACACCTTCTTAGGATCAACACAAGCAACATAGGGCAACACAACTTCATAACAATAGAGTTTAACCCACTATATATTTCTTAAGAGTTAATAAGCCAAAGTAACTTTTGCCTCTTTCTTTGCACCTGTACAAATTTATTTATGGTAAAAATAATGAGTATCTGCACCATACTAGGGCTTAACTGGTTATTAGTTAATGTTATCTGATGACAAAAGTTATCTTTAATGTTAGAAACACAACTAATGTGTTGCTGTGTGATAAATTTTGACCCAACTTACAATTCGGTCCTTAGATGCAAAGGCCCTGAGGTTGGACCTGGCATGGTCTATCTCTGATGACACGGTGTAGACTGGATCTGTGGCAGAACAGCTCGGTTAATGTCAACCAAGTTAGCATGCTAACGTAGCTAGCAAGCTGTCAGCTGGTGTTAGCTTTAGCTCGCGTAGCTGACGTTTAGTCGAGTTTACTTACCGTACAAGTGGTCATAAACCCGCTCCCGCATGACAACTCTCCTTGTGTCATTTTTCTTAGGGATTGTACGAGTGACAGACACGCTCATTTTCTTATTTGAATTAACGCTTTTTTATCGACGAATTTCTCTCCCTGGCAGCGTTATCAATGAACTCTGTGGTAGCAGCGTTACCATGGAGACAGTAAACTGAGCGTTCGAAGTGGGAGGGGCTATTTCAGAGCCGTTTTTTTCATGTATCACATCAAATGTTTATTATTTACATATAATGAGATGTATTGATGTGGGTAGTTGTAAGTCGCTTCTTTTCCATATAATTATTTATTACTGCATTTTAGTTCACTAAATAATTTAGTATGTTAATATTTATCACAGTGAAGGTTACAGTAAAGACAGTGCTTACTTCACAGTGATTGGCTGTCATCAACACTGCCAGTAACATGCTATATTTACAAAAATTACTATATGGTACTGTATTTGAGATTATGGTGAAGTTCCATCGTTAATTGAGAGAGAAAAAAAAAACAATATTCTGGCTACCCTGCCACAAGTATACTGTAAATTCAACAAAATACAGCACTATACTGTGTTTTAGTACACCTTATTATAGGTGTAAATACGTTTACAGTGAGCAAACTAGAAAAGAAAGTAACTTCCTGGCAACCCTGCTGCCAGTAGTCTACTGTAATATCAAGAAAATACAGCAATGTACTGTAATTCAGTGTAGAGTAGATGACAGTAGGAGAACTGTAAAATTAACAGTAAAATACTGGCAACCCTGCTGTCAGTATTTTACTGTTAAGCTACATGACAGTTATTTACAGTATTCTTCACAATTGTCAATCATAAAAAATACAAAAGTTCAAGAGCAGTAACATCTGAAGCCACCCTTGTGACTGACTTATAATTAGCGTATGACAAGTCATTTTATATACACTGAAATGAAATGAATAAAAGTGGATTTTTTGTCAAAGCTCACAAAACTTGAAGACGAAATTTAAAAGCCAATTTATTTATTATTATCTACACAATACTCCTTGGAGTATAAAGTAAGCAAGAACCACTCTTTCTGGTTTATTTAAAAAAAAAATCAACATAGACAAGATACACTGAATGTAAAATATTCTTTTTTATGTCCAGGTCTTTTTTCTTTTTGAGTGTGTTTGTGTTTTTAAGTGTTTTAGAGTGACCAACAAGCACCATTTATTGCAATGACCTGCATCAATAATTCTCTAAAATTTGCATTTCATAGGGACAATGCAATCTAACATAGTTCCAATACAGAGAATGGGAGTGATGTGTTGCACAGAGAGTCCAATGCTAATTTTCAGCTCTTGTCCCTAGTTGGGCTTTTATATGTAGACCTAAAAATGTTATCAAAAATATACAGTTTCAAACATCATACAACTGGAATACACTATAAACATGGAAGACACAATAGAATACATAAACCACAATCCACACACTACAACACACACACACACCACACTGCATTATCAAGATCAAATCATCTAGACTGGGCTGATGCAGCCCGCAATATCCTACGAAAAACTATATGCAAATTCAAGAATATGTCTCAGTTTCCACACTTAGTCAGTCTACTACTCACTATGAAATGTGACTTTTCATAATTTCCCACTAGAGTGGAAGCTACTGAAGAAGCAGGTGAAGTCATCCCCTGCCTTGCAAACCATTTACAATCTAAAGTTTTGTCAGTGCCTCAGCAGCAGATTTCCACCCATATTGTTTTAGGATAGGAGTCTGATACAGATTCTTTTGTACTGAAGCTGCTGAATGACAATATTTTGCACAATGTTTAATATCTTTAAATATGACCACAGTAAGTATTCATTGTTATTTCAGAGAGCTGTATTCTGGTCAAAGTGCAGCATGTTACGTTAAGTATCTACTCACTGTTCAAACTGCTCCTGAAACCTCAGCCTTTACATGAGCTGGACCTTTTGGCGGGCCAGCTCTGGACCACGGCCGCATGTTTGACATCCCTGATCTAGATATTTTGAAAATGCAGATTAGTGCAACATCCAGAGCTCAGCCGTCTGAGCTATCCTTCACTATCTATCATCAACAGGATGTCTGACACAGCACAAGTTGCCATAATACACCGTCAAAATGGCACACATCATCTCAGTAGACTCCATTTAGTTATCAACTTGCTGCAGTGGGGTTAGTTGCTCTAAAGGGCTTTCTAGTTGTAGTTATCTTGCACTGTGATCCAGATAAAAAATGAACAGAAGGCATGACGAGTGTAATACTAATTAAGTGGCAAGGTCTTTCTTTACATGGATTAATAGAAATGGCTACAAGGCTGTCACAGACAGTAACTGACAGAAGGTGAATGAAGGGAGGAGGAGGAGGAGGGCAGGACAGAGCAGTGTCATTATGATAGATCTACATCAGTCTATGATAAAATAAAATATGACCTTCATGGAAGAGTCATCGGAAGAAAACCTTCCCTGCATCCTCACCATGAAATTCAGTGTCAGAAGTTTGCAAAGGAACATCTAAACAAGACTGATGCTTTCTGGAGAAAAGACCTGTCAATTAAAGTCCAGCAAATTCTGGAAGCAAACATCACACCATCTGTAAAGCAGCTGAAGATGAAGAGAGAATGGCTTCTACAAGACAATGATCCTGAACACACCTCAAAGTCCACAATGGACGCAAGAGGAGCAAGCTGAAGGTTTTGCCCATATCCTCACAGTCCCTCGACCTAAACATCGTAGGCGTAGGCTCTGCGTCAACATAGAGTCTATGACGTGCATCTCCCCAAAAATGAAACTACACGTTGCGGTGACGCAGACCTCCTGTCTATTTTGTAACCGGAAGAAACACTAAATATGATGTGAAGATAATAAAGCCCCCCACAAAATAGCATTTTAAATCTTGTATGTGATTTGTCCCAGCTTTTTATGAGTAGAGGAAAGCTTAGCTAGTCGCTAGGCTAATTAATACAATGTAAAATGCCACAAACTTGTGCTAATAACGTTAGCATGTTGTATTTGTGGGGAAAATGTGTCCAGATCAAGACAAGTGTTTGTCTGTGAATGCTGCGAGTTATACTGAAGCCAATTTGTGAACTTGTGTGTGAAATAGTCTCTATTAAGCCATGTTTAATGTGTATTTAATGTGTGTTTATGGGTGTGTTTTGAATCAACCAAATTTTACAGCACTTCAGAAACCCTGCCACTGACAAGTTCTTTGGAGGTGTGGCTGCAGAGTGACACAGACACACCACCGCACAATTGTAAATGCTCACACAATGTAGGCCACATGTGTAGGCTAGAGCGTAGTCTCTGCACAGAGCTGTAACACAAGTGTAAATCCTGCTTTACACCCTTCAAACTCAAGAAGGCCTCATGATGCCCCCAGAGAAGCTTTGGTGACCCCTACTCACCTACTAGGGGTGAGGACCCCCAATTGGGAACCAGGACTGGAGATGAGTTGGCAGGCAGAGAGGGATCATAATTAGTTTCATGGTAATGTCTCAGTTCTGACTGGTGAGATGTTACAGTTGCCTTCAGTCTCACTCTGAACATTTTTTTGCACTTAGACCATGTGATAAAACAGTGTGTTCCTTTGTTTATGTGATAAGAAATCATACATTTAATTAAGTGCTTATCAGGTGTTTTAATGGTAAAAAAGAAATTAAATTACTTTCATTCAACAGTCACTTTTTAATTGGCTTAAATTGTTGATAGAATATAAAATCAGGAAATACACATAAGTAATTTGTTTTGCCTACTATTTGTTTTCAGGAAATGTTTCACTTTATGTGTCTCGGTTTTTTTACCCTTCAGAGCATATTTTTGGGTTGCCAAAAAGGTTGTTTTTGACATCAACAGGAAGTCTGTGCTATCAAGGGGAAACAGTGCACACACACATTCAGACACACACGTACACGCCAAATGTGGCAAAGAGTATTTTCATCCTCCGTAAAGTCGCTATTTCATCAACTTTTTAATGTTTTTTTTTAATTAAATATTATTTATTATTAATATGATTATTGTTTTTTATCCCCTGTTGGATATGAGGAACACAGCTGACCAAAGCGACATTACTTCACAGCTGGAAGGTTTTGCAACTCTGTGGAAAAGCTAGTTTTAGAGCCAAGTGTGCCAGCTCACAGTCAGCTGAACTTCTGCTATGCATGTTAAAATAAACACTGTCTAATATTAGAAAAAGGAGAACAGCCTCATGCCTGTTAAAAGCATAGATCACTGCAAATATTACTTCCTCACATGTCAGTATATGGTTTTTGAAATCCTATCAGCTGTAGAGTTTATGAGGACACACCAGTAAGTCAGAGTCTTCTAGGTGTGGGTTGATTTTATGTACCTTTCTTAAGTTGTTTATCAGCATTGAACGTTTTGGCAGTTATTCTGAAGGCAGAGTGAGGATGCACTCTAGAAAAAGAAAAGCTGAGTTTTACTGTTCATTCACCCTTCCTGATCTTATATAGGGCAGCTAATATCAAAATGCCTTATCGCAAGATGTACTCATGAACCACAAACTCCGCACAGAGCTCGCAGACCATAACCACATACACTCAGTGATAACCAAATACGTTGCTGTCAGTTAATCTCTGATCTGCAAACTGGGGATGAAGTCCCTTAGTAACATCTGCACCCACATTGGCGCTCCATAAACAGCACACGTAAGCAAGTCTGCATTGTGTAACCCTTACAGAGCAAGATGTTCTGACACCAGCAGATATGAGACCACAAACAAATAACACTTACTCAGCATGAAAGCTTTTAGCTCTTGACTAACTTTGTGAGCAGTTTGATATCTAAAGCCTCACTAAAAGTAAAATAAATGCAGTGAATTAAGGTTATAATGTTTGATTAAAGTTTTTTTTTTGGGGGGGGCAGACTTTTCAAATGTTGTTGTTGTTTATTTCTTTTGTATTCTATTTGTATTTAAAGGAATTATATGATGTAGTAATACTGGAGTTAGAAATCAAAAAAAGAGAGAACAAGAAATTAATCTAAATACAGAAAAATATAATAATATATGATAATTAATTAAATAAAATAGGATAAAATAAAATAAAATAACCAAAACAATGGTTACATAAATTGTGTTTATCGAGATATAATTTACTGATAACTGATACATTTAAGTCACAGGATACATTTCACCAGCACAGGAAACAAGAGGATCAGGAGATTTAAGTTTTCAGGAAGCGTTGAATCAGCTGATCTTGGCATTTTGGTGACTGTGTAGTTTGTGCTGCTGTCACATTTTATTGTGTCACAGTGAGTGGCGTTTATGATGTTTTTGTCCTCACCAGTTATATCAGTGAGAATATACTAGATATCAGAAATGTAATACATAAGCACCAAAAGCTACAGCCTCCAGAATGTAAAGTAGCAACATCTCTGTCTTAGTTTAAACAAAACCTGAATTTTTTTTAACATTATAGAAAGTATGATTTAGAGCAGGGCTGTTGGGTGTAGCCCAGGCAACAAGGCCTTCATATGTAAGGCAGTCAAAGCTGTGTTGGATTTGATGTATGGTACAGTACAAATTCAAGTGACCGTGTCTAGCTGTTGTCTAACTTGGAGTGTTCACACAAACTGCCTTGAAAGAGGATGATCATGTGACTTATCAAGAAAGGAAACTGGTGTCTTTGCTTGTCAGACGTCATCCTGTGTGAGAGAAGAAGGCAGGTGTTTGAGTGGAAAGCGGTTTGGAGAGAGGGGGGAAGAGACAGAAGGAGGGAGGGATTAGTTAGTCACATGTCCTTCATGTTTCTTTATCATGAGGGGTGCAAGGGATGTTCACTCTGTCTGGATGGGCTGGTGAACCTGCTCTGCTCAAACCCTCAGCGTCTTTGGGCTACAATAGAGAAAGTGAAATTGCCCAGTTTGATGTTGCTGTAGTTCAGGAGGAAGGATTAGGTTAAAGGCTTGATGTGTTTTTACTGGTGTGAGAGGTGCTGTGCTTGCCAGTTTAAAGAGCAGCCTGAGGACAGCAGGAGATGAGGGACATGATGTGGATTTATGCCGCTAGTATCCTCTTGTTGTCTGAAGTATGGAGCATGGATCAAGGTTTGAACATTAATACATTCTACTTGCATCTTCACAGTCTTTGTTAGAGACAGCTTTAAGACACAGACATGGCTTTTTAGAGGAGCACAAAACGATGACCTCGTAAGGAGTTGTCTCCACAGACACTAAACATTGTTTTAAACTGCATCTTTTGTGGGACTTTATAATTTATGTAGATATGCTGTGTGAAAATATTGTACACTTCAATAGAACTCAAAAATCATGCAGCTGTACTGTAACCTGTGACATGTCAGTAATACCTGGATTAGTAGTATACTGTAAATTGGTTTGACACTGAGATTTCTGCTAAATTATCTGCGCTGTGACTCACAGTGCAGACAGTCAGTGGAAAGAACAAGCCCGAGGGTGGGGTAATACAGATACTGACAGGGGGAGGAAAACCTTCCACAACACACGTATGAAAATGTTGCCCCATATTTTCTGAATGAACAAGCAGCATGGTGCCTCTTGCCTCCTCAGTGGAAACCATGATTTCAGAACAGGGCACACACTATGATGCAGCTTTTCTCCACTGTGTGGTCTCTGGAGGGTGAAGCAGCAGACGCTTCTTTTCTGGGTCTGTGGTTTTGTCATCCCACCCCATGCACTGTCATTTGCTTACATCTGTCAAAAGTAAACAAGTCTCAGACCCCCATAACACTCAGCAGTGAGAGCCAGTGAGGACTAAATTTTCTGATTAATATCTTTGTAGTAGCAGGGCTAATGTCAGTGGGTGTCTTACAGTGCAGTCAGGGAAACAGGGGAGATTATGAGAGTAACGCATGCATTTGTCTTTGGTATGCATGTGCAAAATCTACCATTAAAAGGGTGCATTAAAATATCATATCACATCTGGACAGGACACATTGAAACACAATAGAAGTTGGATAAATAGATATAAAGTGCCGTTTCTGCCACGTGTGTGATTTAGCCCCGCTGCAGTTGGTCATATCATGGTTTTAACTGTATCGCTTCACACCCTAATCAACTAACTAACTAAACTAAACTAAAAATGAATAACAGATTAACCACTCTGATTGTTGCTCCACTGATTGTACACTTCAGAATAAATCACTAACTGCTGCTTTCTGACTGAACAAATTTTACTAACTTGTTTCTAACATCCACCTCCATCTCTCTCAGGACCTAATCAAAACTTCACCTCTGTGAACACCAGCGCTTCTTATCCTAAAGGTTTTGGTAAACTCTTTTCCCCTTTTTCTCTTCAGCTATTTTGCAGTATGAGTAAAATATCAAATAAGACTATGACTATTAAGTAGGACGAGTGAAGGCGCAGGAAGTTGAACACGATGATGAACATTTGTATTGCTCATTTCCTGATTTTAAAGCTCTTTTTTTAGTTGAAATGAACTACAATCATTGAAAAAGTGCTTTGAAACGAGTTATTTATGATGAATAACGGTGTAGTCATTCTACTTTAATTTATTTTGGTAATATATTAAGAGGCTCTATTAAGTGTTTGCCCACTTTGAAAAAGTGATTACAGAATTGGATTAAATGGATAACTGTATTTTGTTAGTCTTAGTCATGTTACTTCACATGAAACTTGATTTTTGTCATCTTAGACTGATAGCTATCAAGTGTTTTACTTAAAATATTTGCTAAGAAGGTTTCCAGACAGGCATATTTTATTGTCAGTTATAAACATAAAGCAACTATATGATGTATTTTAACTGTTTGTATCCTGTGTAATGCTTCATGCTGAAAGCATCTGTGTTACATGCTATTTATAGTTTGTTTTGTTTTATTTTTTGCCGCATGTAGAATTTTTTTTCCTTTTTGCACGTGTATGTATGTTGTATTTATTTAGGCTATATTAGGATGTGTGTAATGTGTTAATTGTTTTATAACAGAATAACCCCAAATCATTTATTAAGCACAATTTATGCATGTGTAAATAATGCAATTATTCTTTCTTGCATCCTTTTTTTTCAGTGGTCAGACACTTAACTTTCAACCTGGGGAGCGAAGCTAACCTGACATGCAGCAATAAGACATGGAATGAGACGATATTTGTCACCTGGACTTTAACACTGAAAAATAAGAATAAAATATGTAGAATAGCCTTTACCCCTGGAGACACAAGCGACTACTGCAATGATGGCAAGTCACTCCAAAACACATCCAGAGGTCAGTCATACCTGCATATCCCAAACTTCTCAAATGATGACGTGGGGGACTACAGGTGTGAGTCAGTTTACAATGGAGGAGTCGACGTTTATATGATGCACGTGAATATCACAGGTAGGACTTTTCTCCTCACAATATTAGATGATTTAAAAAAACATGTGATTGATAAAGTTTACTTCTTAAAGGTCTAGTGTGTATAATTTAGGGGCATATGGACAAACATGGTATATGGCATTCATAATTATACTTTCATTAGTGTATGCACCTGCATAACACCTGAAATAAGTACCATTGTGTTTTGTTACCTTTGAATGAGCCTACATATGGAGCAGGGCCTCTTCCACAGAGTCTGCCATGTTGTTGTACAGTAGCCCAGAATGGACAAATTAAAGGTTAGCTCTCGATAAGGCCATTTGCAGTTTTGCAGTTTTGGATTTTTGCATCGGCCACCATCCTACACGCTGGGCACATGGGTGAAGTTTCAATCAGTGACCTCATTTTATGCCACTAAATCCTACATGCTGGACCTTTAAAGGGTCAGTTCACACTCAAATCACACTCACAAAAATTAGTAAAACAGCAAGTTTTGGTGCATAGGCATTGATTTGGGGGGAGCAGGTGATGTGGCGTCTTCTTTATTTGTAACATGAGCATTTGTTTCGCCTAATAAAAACATGACTTATATTTTGCAGAATCAAATTCACTGATATCACAAGGAAAGGCAAAAAAAGGCTCAAATTGGTGCATAAGAATTAACCAGATTGCAGAGAATGAAGTGTTTGATGTTCAAAATTTTCTGAAGGAGAACACCCCCAACCCATGTTTCATGTGTGTCCCCTCAGTGTTGGTATATAAGGTATACCTTTGTGTGTAGTCTGGTTGAATTACAGCAAGCTGAAGTATTTGATGAGTCTCGTTTCTCCTGTTTTCTCCTCCCTGGCTCAGTCCCTCCTACTATATCAATGTGGTTGGAGCATAAGGACAACAAGATGGTGGCAGTGTGCAGAGCTGCAGGAGGAAAACCTGCTGCCAACATCAGCTGGAGTCATGCAGGAAACTCATCGTCTGTGGAAACTAACTCACATGGATTTTTAACAGTGGAAAGTCGCCTTGAGCTTCCTGAAGGAATGGACACAGAAAACCTGAGCTGTGTTGTCAGGCACCAGTACTGGGAAGAGAAAAGGAGTATAAAACTCCCAAAAGGTCAGGCTTTTGCAAAGTGGATAAGTCATTTTATGTATTTTGATGAACACTGACTAAGTATTTTACATTTTAGTGGCAGTTATGACTTTGCAAACTCATGTGCTGTATTTATGTAAAACAGATTGTTACAAAACGTCTTCACTCTCTCACAGCAGGTTATGTGCCTCGGCTGTTCATCATTGGTGGTGTGGTGATTATCGTGTTGTTGGCAGGAGTTCTATTTTTTATACATCAGAAACTAATATTATTGAGGTAAGCATTTTCATGTGTTGCTAAATGAATTTCAGTGACATGCAAGCATTTTTTTGTTGAATCACTGAGCTGGTTTGTGTGTCCATTTTTCGCCAGGCGATGCAAGAAGTCCGTAACCTCACCATCCAAACCTCCACCGGTGGGTATTCTTCCTGTCAGTCTGCAGTTGACACTTTTGCATGTTTTACTGAACTTCTTTAAGCTCTGTTCATGACACCTCTCTGCTGTTTTACAGACAGAAGATGTGGAGGAAGTGGAGCCCTACGCCAGCTATGTTCAACGTGTGAACTCTATCTATAACTCCTCTGCAGATTTGTTCACATAAAATCCTGCACATGCATCACATGCACACTCTTAAATGCACATGTCTCTGTGAGAAAGTGCGAGGGCTGTGAAACTGAGAAGTGGTGAAATAGTAAAGACAGAGGGGAATGAGATGAAAGACTTCCGATAAGAGGGAAGCCTCTCAGTTTAATTCTGCCTGAGCAAAACTCTCGCCTGATGGAACAGGGGATGTACCTGATTGCACACACTGGCTCCAGTGCACAGCACTGCAGCCCACTACTCCCTGTGTGGGTGTCATGGAGAACTTTAATAATGACTACAGATACAATGATTGCTGGACTGGAACGAACACCGCCTTCAGCCAGGCACAACACTCCAAGACTACAGAACTTTTGATGTGCTGCAATTGTATGATTATTGCTATCATTAATATTATTATAACACATATTTCTAGATAAACTGTAAAGAGATGCTCACTGTTTAATGGATTCTTGCTGAAGTCAACCCAGTAAAAGTCCCATGTGTAAAACTGCCTCAAGATAATGTGGACAATATTATGTAAAATATTCATGTCTCAATGCAGAAGTGTGTGACTGAGTGTATTAAACACACATCTGAACACATTGCTCTCCATGTAGCTCAGCAAAATTAAGAAGAACACTAAAAATAGTGCAAAAGAACAAGTAAACAAGGGTGTTGTTTTCATCAGGTTGAATTTTACAGTGCTGATAACAAGTGCTGCAGTTAAAATGTCACACACAGCCACACTGTTTTCCACTGTGGTTAATATCTAAAAAGATTACATGTCAAGATGACTTTTACACCCTTTATAGACATGCAGGAACTTACACTTTCTGTCACCCGACTGATCAACACTGGGTGGGGCATTTATGAAATGGAGGTTTTTGGGGGTTGTAAATGTCTGTAATTTTGTCAAAAGTCCTCTGCTATCTTAATGTTTTTATTGGGGTTGACAAATGCACATGTTCTAAATACTGAAAATGTCCCCCTCCCCCAACATTTTCACTTTTGCGATTAATGATTATTAGCCGGGGCCATCCGAAAAAAAAAAAAAAAAGTCTCTGAATTTGGTGCAATACTTTCATTATGAGTGTAAACCCATTTCTAAAGAAACTGTTAGGAAGTGGAAACTGGAAAAAGTGGACTGTTCTGCCATCTACTGGTGGACATCATCATGATCATGCACTGTATCACAGTTCATTTTAATTTCTTAATAGTGCTAATAATCTCTGCATTCATGTAAATTTGGAGTGCCACTGTTGTGCCTTTTCTGCAGTTTACAGTGGAAACGCTTTTAATTGTGTCAAGATAAAAATCCTGGGCCCTATAGATAAGCAGTCTTAGTGGGCTCCCCAAAATGTAATTTAATTTAATTTAATTTAATTTAATTTAATTTAATTTAATTTAATTTAATTTAATTTAATTTAATATTATTTTATTAATTTATTTTTACAAAGTTATTTTCTTTTCTTTTTTGGAACTCCTATTTTCCTTTCTTTGGAAAAAACATGTATGTTGGTGCTCAAGCACAGTATTAGCATAAGCAGTCTCTCACCCAGCTTTAGCTGTGTTTAGATTCTCTTGCAGGGTTGGACTAAACCATTTAGCACCTTTAAGGGGTGAGAGGGGCCTCAGGGAGCTTACATTTTTTTATTTATAAAGTTCAGTACTTGAACAGATTTATTCAGCCAATGTTAATTTAATTCTGGCACTGATAACTTTTCAGGCTCCTCTCCTAATCTAAAGAGATGCCCTCCTAATGTGCCTCCAGTATTAATGATTGAGAAGAAAACCCACAGCCTGCTAATAAACATGCAGGGTTTAGACTTTCTGTTGACTTCTGCTATTAAACCATAAGGTGCAGCAACTATAATCTGCCTTCTACCCTCACACTGATTATTAAGTGCAACAGAAAAAAGGAAACTGACAGATAACCACAGGACATGACACACTTTGCCTGTCTTAGTCTGTCACTTGTCCACTTCTGGCGAACACATCAACATGATTTTTTCTCTGAAATGTGGCCAAGAACCTCACTGACAGTTTGATCTCAAAACAGATTATTGCCATGACATCTTGCAAATACTTTGTTGCAATGTAGCTGATTAATTTCACAGAACAACTGACTAAAGTGGTAAGGTTTAATCAGTATAAAAGATCAGTAAAGCCACAATGAAACAAAGGCGCTTACAGTAAATTACACCGCCCTATCATTTAACATCCACTCAAACATATAAATAACCCTGTAGGTAGAACAGGCATAGACACAAACATATATGCACATACAAAACATGAAAAATATAAATTCTCAAGCCTTAAATATGTATTTGTAGTATATTTGGGTGGTGTGCAGTAGTTCTCAGGAGCGGTATTGCAAAATGAGGAACTCCAGGAAGCAGATGAAGGTTTGAGTTGAGGCCATAAACATTATATTCTTCCAACATTGATCGGATGACATGTGGGCATATGAGCGTTGTTAGTAAAGGGTGGTTGAGGCTGATTAATGTGGGGTTTCTGCAACTGAAACTTTGGTTAAAGGTTTCAACAAAAACAGATAAAGATTATCTGCCGTCGAGTCATAGAGTGACAGCAGGCGTGCTCGCATTAGCCATCCTGACTACAAAGTCAGTGTTTCTTTCTGTTAACAGGGTGTCATAGCTGCTTTTTCCTCTCAGGGTGGAAAAACAGTTCCACCACTTTTGTAGCACAGACAGCCCTTGAATGCTGAAAGTAACACACTCATTTTGGAGAGCAAATTTTCTACAAACAAAATCATACATTAAAAAACATGTAACGAACATTTAACACATAGTGACATGTTGAAACTAACATTGCTTTGTCAGAAGCTGGTGGGCTCACTGTTTTGGAGAAAACTGACAAAACCTCTTGCATTAATGGCAAAAAAAGTTCAAGCCCAAACACCAAAGCTCTGTCCAAAATTGATATTACTTCTAGACAAGGAAGTATACTTCACCATTTCATACTATAATGCATGCAACATCAAATGCCAATTAAACTGTGACTTTGGAGAGCTAGTTAGCCGAAATAACCTCTCAGAGAGAAAGCAAAAATACTTTTCTTAAGATTTATTACTTATTTTTATTTTTAGCTGTTTCAAGACTGCCCACAATTTCCTTTCTGTTTCTCAGCAGTGAGCTTAATTTCCTCTGTGCAACACATTATCAGAGAGTAGGACCCATCAATAGCACATTCAAAAATAGAAAGAACTCTGCAGGCTTTGAGTTGACTTTAGTTTGCCATTTTCCTAGTGTGCACGTTCTACATACTGTGTAGAGCCTGTAGTATGAATTTGGTAAAGTTCAGTTTCATTTACTTCCAAGTATTGTGTTACCATAACGACAATTTAGAAATCTATTTGTAGTACACACTGGCTACACTAATTGTGTTGGCTAATTTTTCCTGCAAACTAACGTGTATGCAATCAGATTTATTTAAAAAAGATGCTGTAATATAGAAGTTTGATTGTAGAAAACAAGTGTCGTACACTCTGGCTCCATATGCATATCTTTTGTTTTATGTGAAGTGTGACGTTTCGTCCATCTTCAAGATCAACAAGCAAGATCAACCTGCTGATCTTGAAGAAGGCCCAAAAGCTGCAGCGTCACGTGTGTGCATCACAAGTTTATTGCCAGGAATCAGCTCCTCATTATTATTCTTGGTGTAAAAAGTAATAATATAAAAGTTGGTCACATAGTGGCTTTAAAATGTTGTCATTCACGTCATGGTGTAACTAATTTGGTGTATATGATGCTGTTGGATTTGACAGTTTGGTTGCTGTTCTTATGATTGGCAAATATTCGTCAAGCCAAACACCAGGTTCATTTTCCTCTGACTAACTGATTCTGGATAATGTTCTAATGTCATGGCGTTTCATATCAGACTGAAGAGCCACAGATCCTCCACCTGAGGTTGAGTTTCTTCTGTACAGACGTCAAACGTGATGCGGGTTATTCTTCTTCAGGAAGGAACACCACAGTTATGTTCAGGGTGGGGGTTACATCAAAAGTGGAGCGAAACATCTTGGGGGCTTCTTGTTTCCGCAACCAGCTACTGTGGATGTTTTTTTTGTTTCATTTTGTCACAGTTTCTTCAAGTTTGAAGATCAAGATTTGACTAACAGTCACATTCCCGAGTCCTGCATCATGCAATAACCTGAATTAAGATTTCCTAGTTTCTGTTCACCCCATGAGAACATAATCATCTGTGTTCTCCTCTGTAGACGAGCACTTGGACACAGTTTCAGGTTGGAGTGCCGCTGCTGGTAGGTTAACTGTTGCATAGTCACAATCATCATCAGTGGTAGCTCTGGCTCTAGGTGATCCTTTGGCGGTGCTGTGGTCAATAGAGGCATACGTGACATCCTCGTTAGGCTGTCAGGAGATAACACACACAGAGTGAGATTCCTGAACTTATGTTGCACATTATTTATTGTTCTTTTTCATACAGTGCTCCTGCAACCGGCAGGTTCTTTTTTTTTTTATTTTTAAATGTGGTTAGTGGTTTTGACTTCCTGCGGATGAAACAAACAGCCTCACAGTTTCTTTTACAACAGGGGCCTCACATTAATGTTCACCCAGTATGCAAATCTAACGAGGCATCACCTCTGACAAGGCTATCATGAAAGCACAGGAGCACACCCATGTCTCATGAAAAGCTGGAGCTGATAACTATGAAGATTTATGCTGAACAAAAATAGACTCAACATTGATGTGGGAAAGTTTACCTTGTTATCTGTGTTGCTTTTTCCACCTGGTGTGAAATCCCCTGAAACAGAAAATGCAAATGTATGACATGCAGCAAAACTGTCCAAAATGAATACACACTGAATACTATAAATAACATTAAAAGATAGTTTTACCTTTCCCTTTCTTCTTTGTCCTGACATTAGATCAGGTTAGTATGATGAGACCACAATAAGGACACAGACATCCAGAGCATTAAACAGAAGAATAAAACCCATTAGTGTGTGATAAATAACACGACTGAAAACATTAATTTAACTTTTTGAATCAGCTTTACAGGTAATAACTTATTTTCGCACAGTTTCATGTCAAACATCAAACAATTTCCGCAACAGCTCCTCAGAGGTGTAGGTTTTACCACACAGTAGTGTTTCCTTGACAGCTCAACACAAGACAGCATGTGCTGAAACAGGAAACACTTTACATATGCAACCCACATCTGTCTGTGACCAACCGTCTATGTCAGTGACTAACAGCGCTTGGAACATATGGAATTTCACATGCTTCTAGGTCAGCATCTCACGCCATGTTGTAACAAACACATGAAACACGCTGAAACTTAGTCTGTTCTTCTCTGGTGCCCATTATTTCCTTGCTGAACAAATGCAGAAGCTGCCTGACACAGCACCAGACTGCGGCATTGTGTCATTCCAACGCTAGCGTTACTTTTTAAAATGGTCTTGCCAGTGTTTTTTTCTAATTTAATCACTCTTGTTTTAAATATTTTTGTATAAGAAGCACTTTCAGAAAAGCATTAATTACAACCTGCTCCTACAGTATGTGCATCTAAGGATCATTACTCACCCTGAAGTGCAGTTACCCATGATGTGCCCACAGAGTCTGGAAGTACACACTGTAGCTGTCAGCAGGTGGCAGGTAGCAGTGTTTGGTCGCTGTCGCAACCCTCAGCTGTAGATGACACTGTGGTAGACGCTGATCTCACTGATCTCTCTGCACACAGGCCAGAGAGAGAGCAAGAGAGAGAGAGAGAGAGAGAGAGAGACAGAGAGAGGGTGTGTGTGTGTGTGTGTGTGTATACAACAGCCCTTTGGTGTGCCATTTTGATTTCCTGTTCACAGTTGTCTCTAACACCACACACTCGTGCATGCTCACGCACACACACAGATGCACACACAAGCATACACTAAGGTTGTAGGGGACCTCACATGGACACACAACACGAACTGTCTGATCAGGATGGCACAGCGGTGATTACACTTCCTGAGAGCTCTCAGGACACTCAACCTGTCACAACCTCTCAACAACAATGTCAACTGAACTCAAATTTATTTATAAAGTACATTTAAACAACTTGCATTGACCAAAGTGCTGTATAAAAGGAATAAAGTGCTGAACACATACATGAGAAGCAACATAGCTGTCAGGAACATAGCTCACACATTTAGAGACACAACACACAGGCACGTGTCATGGAAAGCCACATCAGGGGCATTCAAACACTAATTAATAAAAGTAGGTTTTGAGCATGGACTTAAATGAGTCAGTGGTGGGGGCAGATCTGATTGGGAGGTGGATGCTGTTCCACAGCTTGGGGGCAGACACAACAATAATATGATCACCCCTGACCTTAAGTCTGGAGTGTGGGACAGCCAGGAGCCCCAGGTCAGCTGACCTGAGGGACCTGGAGGTAGAATAGAGGGTTAGAGGGTCTGTGATGTAGGATGGGGCCAGACCATTAAGGGCTTTGTACACAAACAGGAGAACCTTTAAAGTCAATTCTGAACTTTACAAGCAGCCAGTGGAGAGAGGCTGAAACAGTTGTGATATGGTCTCTCCTCCGGGTATCTGTGAGAGGCCTGGCAGCAGCGTTCTGAGCCAGCTGGAGGCGGGACAGAAAGGACTGACTGATACCAATATACAGAGAGTTACAGTAGTTTAAGCGTGAGGAGATGAGAGCGTGGGTGACTGTCTGCAGGTTTTTGAGGAAGAGAAATGGCTTGATTCGAGGTGGAACCTCTGCTGCTGTCCTTCTATCATTGCTCTGTGGAAAGTGTCCTGACTTATGGCATCCTGGTGTTGTACGGTAGCAGCTCTGCAGCTGACAAGAAGGCCCTGCAGTGATAAAAGCTGCACAGAAAATAACAAACATACACAAACCTGTCCTGGAAGGCACTGTCACCTCCCGCTGCCTCCAGAAAACAACAAACATCCTGAAGGACTCATCTCACCCTGCCCACCATCTGTTTGACCTTCTGCCCAGGCAGATGTTATCGGACAAGACACACACCAGCAGACTGCTGAACTGTCTTACCTCAAAGCCATTACTACACTGAACTACACTGAATTACTACTGCAGTGAAATCACACAGCCAGTAACATTTAATATTTATATCTACATCATGTGCAATAACTTTATTCATTTATTTATTTTATGTGCAAATACTTTAGGTTATCTTATGTTCATGGCATATGTTGGCATATGTGTGCGTATGTGTGCATACATTTGTGTGCAGTATGTGTGTGTGTTTAAAGTACGGATGATATTTTATCCCCTCCTTTATTATTTATGTATTACTTTTAAATGAGTTCAGTTTTATTCCGTGCACTAAATTTTGTCCATCCATCCATCCATTAATCCATTCATCCATCCATCCATCCATCCATCCATCCATTTTCATCTGCTTATCCGGAGCCGGGTCGCGGGGGCAGCAGGCCAAGTGAAGCACCCCAGACGTCCCTCTTTCCAGCAACGCTTTCCAGCTCCTCCTGGGGGACCCCAAGGTGTTCCCAGGCCAGATGAGATATATAGTCCCTCCAGCGTGTTTTGGGTCTGCCCTGGGGCCTCATACCAGTGGGACATGCCCGAAACAGCAGTAGAGCCATTTACCCTATTTCTAAGGCTGATCCCAGCCACCCTTCTGAGGAAACTCATTTTGGCCGCTTGTATCTGCAATCTCCTTCTTTCGGTCACTATCCAGAGCTCATGACCATAGGTGAGGGTTGGGACATAGATGGACCAGTAAATCAAAAGCTTCGCCTTCCAGCTCAGCTCACTCCTCACCACTACAGACCGATGCAGTGCCTGCATCACTGCAGACACCGCCCCAAACCGCCGATCCATCTCATGCTCCATTCTATCCTCACTCATGAAAGAGACCGCAAGATATTTGAACTCCCTCGCTTGAGGCAGCAACTCTCTCCCAACCCGGACAGAACAATCCACCGGTTTCTGGCAGAGAACCATGGTCTCAGATTTGGAGGTGCTGACTCTCATCCTAACTGCCTCACGCTTGGCTGCAAACCGTTCCAGTGTATGCTGGAGGTCATGGTGTGGTGAAACCAACAGAACCACATCATCTGCAAAAAGCAGAGAGGCAATTCTGAGTTCTCCAAATTGGACCCCTTTCTCCCCCCCGGCTGATCCAGATCTTGTCCGTGAAAATCACAAACAGGATCGATGACAAGGGACCGACACCCACCAAGAACGTGTTTGACTTCACACTGAGTATGCGGATACAGCTTTCACTTTGGTCATACAGGGACCAGAATTGAAAAACTGAAATAAAGACAAGTCAGCTTATCTGAATTTTGAAAAAGAAAACATGTGCAGACACACAACCTACACATGCAGCAGTTTTCACAGAGGACATTGTCTTAATAAAAACTGCTAGCTGAGGAGTGTAAGCTCAAATGTAGTTTCTTTCAGTCTTAGCTATGAATCATAAACCGAAACTATGTGCATTGCTGCATATCACAGGAGGGTAACACAGTCTAGGTGAGGCCAGCTGACCCTGTTTGCTCTTGTTGCTGTATTGTCTCATTTGCATGATTGTGCAAATTTTTCTTGATGAGAAAAATGAGGAAGTCACAAACCTTTTTTTTTCGGTGGAAAGTCCAGTTTACTTTACATGCTGCGTCTTTGTTTTGAGTAATAGACCTTCGTGGCTGTAATGATCACTCAGAGATATTTTTGTCATATGCAAAATGCAGTAAAATCAGTTTCAGTAAGTCTACAAAAAGCAACACAGAATGAGAATGATTCACTGAATGTTCATCATGAATTATTTCAGCTGTCAAATATCAGATGGTAGAGATAAGGTAGATTTTAATATAACTTACACTGTATACTCACAAATGCCTGACGCAACCATGTCTTTATGTGCAGTAGACGACACTACGTTACACACTGGAGGGCACTGTTGCAGCAGTCCGGGTGATTCACACACAACTGAACAAGAACATCAGTAAAGAAATGTTATGTGTCTTCTTACACCATCTGCTGGTTGCAAACAAGAAATAAAAAAAAAACACCTTTGCAAAGTACTGTATCATCAAAAACATGTTGCAGGACATCCATAACCACCAGTCATCCACACCCAAGCAATTCATGTATAGTCAGGTTTTTCGTTCAAGGCCTCAGTCTGACTTTGAAAGCAGGATATCTGCAACTTCCTGTCGGGCTCCTGAGCCACTTTCAAACAACCTGTTGTTGGTTGAGATGATGAATCTGTGCATACAATGCCCAGCTCCTTGACAAGAAGTGACATGCCCACTCAATAACCTAGATAACTTTGCGTCTCAGTTTTTTGCATTGAGGATGACTGAATCTGATTTAACAAGTGTTTCTGCAATTGGAGAATTAAATGGCAAAATAACACATAATATGCAGTTTTCAGGTGTGCACATTAACAGCTGTTATGTCATGACACTGAAATTCACACATGCAGGGTGGTCTTATAATATGTGTGGGAGGACAGGAAGTGGTGAGCTTGTCACAAGTGAAAAGAGCCCAAGCGGTAACTAGAGTTTTAGATAATCTCTCTCAGGTCTCAGGTGATGAACACATCAAGCGTGATGGATAGATTAATGCACACCTCTCTGCTGATATTCTGCTTTTTTACATTTGTCTGCATTAACGGAAGAGGTCAAGGTAAGTCTAAACACCCTTTTATCCTGTCACATGACTTTAAAGGGAGCACGGTGGAACATTTTAAATCGATTATAGCTATTAAGTGGACAAGAGAAAACATTTACACTTTTGATTACAGTTCATAAATTTCAGTGTAATTATTTAATATATGTGTGGTGTAAACACATTGAGTATTTAGTATCTTCCGGCTATGTAAGTCCAAGCTAGAAGACAAGAGGTTAAGGAATAAGGAGGTAGACTGTGCTTCAGAGGAACTAACAAATACATGACAAGAACAAGATAGGAAAAACAGTGAAAATGGAGCAGCAGTGATGATATTGCGATTAAATTATTGATGTTATATGGTTTTTTTTCAATCATAAATGGCATAGTTTAAAAAATCTCTTTGATGTATTTTGAAAATGTGACTGTATTTCTTGCATTAAAGGAATAATGTTATACTGTAGCTAGACGTATTTGTCAGAATTTACTGTAGCATCGCAGCTTGGTTGTACTTCCAGGTTGTCAAAATGTGCTGCTTGTGCGGTAACCCCAGCCTCACTATAACGTTGCCTGGGCTTCGTTTAGCATCTGTGTGAGACAAAACAGGCTTTCCCTTACTTCTTACGTAAACCCATCTGAATCATTATTAGATGTACAGGGCAACAGAGGTAGTTTAAAGCAGTGGTTCCCAACTGGTCTAGCAACGGAGTGCAGATTTCTCCTCAGTCATTAGTTCAAGGTCCACACAGTTTACACATTCAGCGTCATACTTGAGATCGGCGATGTCGTCGAGCTACTTTACTGTCTTTGTCAAGTAGCTGTCCATTATTTACTCACTCTACGGCGGGAAATGACACCTCAAAATATAAATTATGTGCCGGAAATTCACTGCACATAGAAATTAATTGTTTTTTTACAAACTTGACATCTTTGTGAGTCACTTGCGTTCCATTCAGAATGACCCAGCATTTGGGAACCATTGGTTTAAAGAGAGTAAAAGTCCACTCAAACACCAGACTGACCCAGCAGACAAGTGTCCTGAAACTAACAAACATCAACATTGCTTAGGCATTGGTGCCATGTAAAGCCTGGTGTTCTTTTGTGACACCGTTGTCTTTCCCACGTTTGTACCATTCAAGGTGAAGGGTTTTGAAGCGACATCTGCAACCTTTTGCTAACCCTAACCAAGTATTTCCATCCATCCATCTTCTAACCGCTTCATCCTCTTGAGGGTCGCGGGGGGGCTGGAGAGAACCCACGCTGACACAGGGAGAACATGCACAGAAGGGCTCCCACACCTGGGATTGAACCAGCAACCCTCTTGCTGTGAGGCGACAGTGCTAACCACCACACCACCGTGCCGCCCCTAACCAAGTAGTTTTGCTGCCTAAAACCTAACCGGCAACCCAGTCTTACTGCCAACCCTGCCAAGATGCACGCAAAAGGCTGCCCTCAGGGTCATTTTAGTGACGCCTGGGGCTTCTGCCCAAGCGGAGAAAATATGTCAAGTGGGGATGACATCACATTGAGTAGTGAAAGTTACTTTTCTGTTATCTTGTATTAATTCCATAAATTATTAACTTTTTTTTTTTTCAATTGTAATTTTTAGGCTCTCCTCTGTCATGTGAAGTTAAGCTTACGGTCCAGCAAGGTGCGACATGGAAAACTGGCCCACAACAAAATGTGACAATCAGCTGTCCTGTCAAACACTGTGGAGAATCACCAAGAGTCACCTGGTGTAAACTGCTCGACACATACGAATGCAAACAGATCAATAATCCCACAGAGAATGTAGAAATAAGACAGACGGATGTACACGGTAAGGATGAACTGATCTCATATTTGACTTTCACACGGATTTCCATTCGTGACGATGGCCTGTACAGATGCTATTTAAGAGGACCCAAATATGAAGAGATCAGTCACGCTATCAATGTCTCGGTTTCAGGTAGGCAGTTTTTGCTCCCTCAGTGCCAAAATGTAGATATAAGATGGTTCATTTCAGGAGTTAATTTGAAGTGTTTTCTGTAACTTTATAGACTTAAACCAGGGGACTGAATACTCTGACAATAATGCAGGTAAGACCCTTTACTCATTAAACTATACACACATTTTAATGGACACAGTTTCAAGTTTTAATTGTATATATTTTCTATTAATCTACAGGTTTAAGCCATTTGGCTAAAAACAATGCGGGTAAGAACCTTTATTTGTTGAATTATACACACATATTTTACTGAATACAGACTACACTAATACTGATCTATTTCTTCCACTTTTGTAGATAAACTAAGCGGTGCTGGACATGAGAGTGCACCCTGGCTGCCCTACTTCTACATCTGTGTTTGCATAGCTCTTGTGGTTCTCACACTGACAGTGTTAACCTTCCTGAGTTTTTATGGCTGGAAACGTAAGAACATTAATATGCATTCACAGTCCAAATTACTGCAACAAGATTTCTACATCTTACCACATAACAAAGCAACATATTTCAATGTCGCCTTCACAGGAATTGGAACGTACAACCTCACAAAGAGACAAGTATCGCAGGTAAATCATGCAATTTCTTTCTTGCTGAGTTAGATGAGAAGTTTGATGCCACTCTCATCCCTTATGCTAAATATGAAGTTACAGGCAGCAGTCAGTTAGCTTTGCTTAGCATCTCTAAAGTAAGGTACGCTTTATGCTCGCCCAAGTGTCCCCAGCGTGAGGTTCACATGCCAAAAAATTATGTCGTCATGTCTTTCAGGTCGAGCACGAAGTCATAACCAATCAGAGGGAACGTAACGGGGGGTCACTGGGCTAGCCATAGGTATAGATTTCAGGGGGACATAGGGGACACGTCCCCATTAACACTGAGAACATGTGCATTTGTGTTAAAAGCCGATAAAAACATGAAAGTAGCAGAGGATTTGATTTTGATGAAAGAAAAGACATTAATGCACAAACTGGTGCAGACAAAACCAATGCAGGAAATTGGCTAGCTAATGTTAGCTGAAATGCTAGCAGAGATAAGTTGGGAGAGGTGTGGTGGTGCTTCTGCTGGATATACTTCAACAAATCATTCATTTTATTCAATAAGCACTCTACTGTTAGGCCACACACAGGCAAGCGAGGCCTGTTTCCTGATTTTGTGCTAAGCTAAGCTAACCAACGGCTGAATTTTAGCTGCATATTTAGTTCACAGACATGAGGGTGGTGTCAATCTTCATTTACTCTTGGCAAGAAATGTTCTCAAAATGTCAAACTATTCCTTTAACCATTTAATTCCTTTGTTCAAGAGTCATAATGTTGTCAAGCATGAGTATTATATGGTCTTATTTAACCTTGTTCTGGTGTTTTGATGTCATAGGAAATGGCCACTCATGTGATACCCGACCTTCCTAAAGGGAATGCTCCGTTATCTCTTGTCCTGTGTGACACCTACTCTCCACGCACTGAGGAAAGACCACCATTACAACCTCCCCAAATGACCACAGGGATCCAGCATGGTCTTGGAAACACAGCAGACGGCAGTCAAGTGTCAGACAGTGCAGTGTATGCTATCGTCAACCACCGACAGCTTGGGAGAACTGCTAGAGAACACCATGCTGTGACTAAACAAAATAAAAAGGCAGAATATGCTACCATCAATGTTTCCTGAACATTTTGGATTTGTCACAGACACATGCAGATGAAAACATAGATGGAAAAATGCACACAAGTATGTGATGGTGTCATGGAACAGACGAAGAAGCTAAGCAATCGACCACAATGCTGAAAAGGTGAACGGAGGAGGCTTGTGGTCACGCAGATGCGCAGTACAGTCAGCTTTAATTAACCAGATGAGACCAAAAGCAGTTCAACCTTAATGTCTCACTTTTCATTTTGTTCTAGGCCTTGATGCTCTTTGTTAAAAGCTGTAGTTATATTTCAGTTGTTTATTTCCCCCCAGTCGTTTCATTTACTCAGAAGGCATTTCTTCGTCATAGCTTTAGTGGATTGTTTAAGAAAAGACTGTAGATAAGTAGATTTGTCATATGCAGACACACTGAATACCTGTTGTACATTCTTTTGTCTGATTTAGTAGTTTAAAGACTGAAGTTTGGGAGGTGACTATGTCTTAATATAAATAAAATGAAATAAATTGCATTCCATTATAATCCTTGGCTGGTCTGTGACTGTGGAAACATTTTGTTCTTGAGATGATGATGATGTTGAGATGATTATTTGAATATTTTAAAGACATAATAAGTTGGCCAGCTCATCCTATAATTCTGTGTGGAAGAACACTACCTTATTTACAACTCTGGTACTTTATCTCACACATTTTATTTCCCACATGTAGCCCTCAGTGTTTTTCAGTGCCTTTGGTGGAAACACAGTAGTCTGTCGACCACACCAGTGTGGTTTGATTTCAATGAGCAGGAAGTCAAAGAAGGAGATTTCTTGACGTCATTTGTTGTTGCAGATGTCCCACCGCTGCTCAACCACATATGGTTTACATACTCAGATAAGTTGAGCGGTGGTCTTATCCTGATGTGATAACACAAAGCGAATTATATACAAGACAGAGGAGTGCTGATCGTCTGTGTTAACAGAAACAAAGAGAAGACAGGCTTGAGCAAAGAAGAGATTTTATTAAAGAAAATTATATAACAGTAAACCATTGGCTCGTGGTCCCTGACTTCTGTGGCTTGTGACCCCTTAAAACAAATCTAATTGCGAGCCAGCATCACAAGTTACACCCTTACTGTGAGTTGTGAGTCAGTTAAAGAGTTGTTTTATCTCTCAGACTGTTTAATTTTAGGGATTTTAAGAGGCAAAAAGAGGTGAAAATATCCAGTGTTTCACCAGAAAAAGCAACATTTACCAAAAAGTAAAAAAAAAAACCAATGTTGCGCTGGCTGGTATTTTCTTTACTTTGTTAGACTGTGTGTGTGTCATCATGGCAACATGTGGTCCAAGCGACACCTATAGTAGTGGAAAATACCACAGAAGCAGTTCTGAGTATTCTGCAAGGTACTAAGTCTGTTTGTGTGTCTGTGGACAGAGTTCAAAATGAAAGCCAAGTTCGAGGATGGCTGTGGTCCGAGCAAGGGTTGGGGGGTATGAAGAATGGATGGGGCCATTGTCCCCCGACTTTACACCCCTGGCCTACAGTCATTTTAAGCTGTGGATGGCTGTATTGTGCAAGACGGTCTCTGGGTCTTCTCATAATCACATTGTGACCCTTTCAGATTTACCTTGTGACCTCATGTAAGGTCTCCTTGTGTTGGGAACCATCAGCAAATGCACAATTCAATTCTCAGAAAGGCTTATTTAATATATACTATAATAGGCCCAATACACTTGTTTGCCTAATCAAAATTAACTTTGAAGTTACCATTGTTACAAATAGCACAGAAGGACTTCATCCACTGTCACTGAGCACATTATTTATTAATATAAAAACTAAATAAAGCCACTCCCAGGCTGGTCTCTAGCAAGAATAGCTAAAATTATGAAATATGAAACAGCTTTATTCCATGATTTATCAATCATGGTGAAAGTGGTGAAACTACTTATATTTGGGTATTGCTGGAAAACAAAGCTGCACATTTACATTTTAAGTGATTGATTATATTGCTTATGTCTCAGCTCAAGTTTATTAGGTAATGTTTCTTATTTCATTCATTCATGTCGTTTCCTGTTTTACTTTGAAACTCACATCTCTCCTTTCAGATCACTTCACTTCCTCCCTTTTGCTGACTTCACCTGTGTCTGATTGTCTGTCTCACCTGCGTCTCGTTATCCCTCCCCTCATTTAGTGTGTGTCTTGTTTTCTCTCAATGCCAGTTCATCTTAGCTACTTGTGTGTCTAGCATTCCAACTTTTTGTTTCTCTGTGCCCTGTCCTTGGTTTTTTAGATTTAGCCTGTTGAGTCTTCCTCTGCCTCATCCCTATTGGATTTATTTGCCTCTACTGATTGTCCTTCTGTGTAACGAACCTACCTTTTGACCAATAAAGACTTTGTTACTTTACCCAAACTGTCTCTAGAGTTGTCCGTTTGAGTCCGCTCTCACCTGGTTCACCACTTGTTACAACTAACTGGCCAATAAGTGTCATTCTCAGTCGACTCAGACGACATAGTTGCTCACCTTATTTAACCCCTAAAACCACAAATCACTCACTGTCCATCATGCTGAATACATACAGTGAATCATACTGACAGAGACTGATAATTCGGTTTTCTTTAGATGATGTCCAGTGGAGCAGAGTGTTCCCTGGGCTGTAAATCCATTAACAGATGCTCACAGAAGGTCCTTTCACTGAGAAATGGCATGTGGAAAATGTCATGAAATGCTCCTGAATAATGTGACTTGGCATTTGCTGTGTATTTATTACAGTACAGGCCTACTCACTGGAATGCACACTCAGGAGAGGAAGGTGAAAAGGTGAAATATAGTCTCTTGCTGTAGTCCTGAGCGCTGTGTGAAATGACTCTGTGAACTTCTTTTCTGTCTCTGAGTGGAAATTTTTCATCTCAGCAACGGTGTCTGGTAGTTACAGCCCACACACAAGTCCTGCTCCTCTAGTCTCTCTGTCTCTTTCTCTCTCTTACACACACACACACACACGCACACATCCGTAATTGTGTTTTTTCTCTGGTGGACAAAGCCCCGGTTCAGGCAGCAGTGAGATGGAGAGCGTGGAGGCTTGTGCAAAGGCAGCGTTTGAGACAGGCCTGATTAGATCAAGCCTGAGGTCACTCTGAGAGTGTGTGGACTCTGCAGCAGTGTGACTTAGAAACCATCTGACAAGGTGCAGAGGAGTGCTGAATGCTTGTGATCTTACCCCAAAATCTCCCTAAAAAATACAGATTCTGTATCTGGAGGATTATTAAAAAGACGTAAAGATAAATCTGCTGGGCTTTTATGAGTCAGATGGAATGACAGCTTTAATTTTACCAAGTAAATATTCCTGAACATGAAGTTAAATGACATCCGTAGCTTTAACATTATATTTAGATTATCATGGTTTTGTGGTTTTGCTTACAGATACAGTAGATTTAACCTGCAACACCAAGCAACGGAATAATTTTTATAAATGTATCACTCGTGTTTAAGCAATCTTGTAATTTACAAAGCCACTGAGCCCCCGTTTCAACACCTCACCATAGCCTTACATGTACTAACACTTTTTTCCTCACACTCACCCAGCTGTAAAAGCCATGAGAAGCTCAGGGGAACGAATGGGGTTTAAGTGTTACATCAGAAGGAAACATATTTCAAACACTTTAACTGGAATTTCACATCTAACACATGCAGGCACACACATACCACGGAACAACACAAACAAACAAGCAGGTGTGATTTAAGTGAGTGTGTGGTCACAGTGTTTAGCACTGCAACCTTTTAAGATGGTAATCACGAGTACTACATGTGGTTTGCTACCAGCTTTCACAGCTGGGCTGGTAGTGTCTGTTTTCACCTTCTGAGTCAGCGTTCATGTCATCATGGCAAAAAGTGGTCCTGGAGACACGTATTTTAGCAGAAACTGTTAGAGAAGTGGTTTTGAGTTCTTTGTTGAGTGTTTAGATGTCTGTTTGTGGACAGATTTTTCAATGCGATAGTGTCACAACTGTGCAAGATGCAGTCACAAAACTTTACAAGTGTGTAGTTGAAGGCCAAATTTGAAGACGTGTGTGCGCTGAGTAAGGACACTGGAAGTAGGAGGGGTAGGAAGTAGGGAAGGGGTCATTGCCTTTTCGCTTTACGCCCCCCGACCACATTTGCTTCAAGTCATTGATCGCTGTTTTGCAACTGGCGTGATCAGTCTCAGCTTGAAATTGTACTCTATCAACACAGATGTCTGATAATAATATGGTTTTTATGCCTTCATACTGGTGATAGCCGTGGCCAGAGCTGGTTTTTGGGTTGTCTGTCCATCAGCCCATTGGTCCATCGGTTCAATGGCTCATCGGTCTATTCATATGTTGTACGTCCATCCCATTCTTGTGAGCTCAATATCTTTAGAACGCTTTGAGGGAACTTCTTCAAATTCAGCACAAACATCCATTTTGATTCAGTGATGCGCTCATTAGATTTCGCTGATCAAAGGTCAAGGTCACTGTGATCTTACATCCATCTCATTCTCATTAAAACGATATCTCAAGAAGGCTCCGAGGGAATTTCCTCAAATTTGGCACTAACATCCACTTGGACTCAAGGATGAACTGATTAGAATTTGGTGGTCAAAGGTCACTGTGACCTCACCAAACATGTTTTTGTTCATAACACAGGAATTCATACGCCAATTATGACAAAATTTGCTCCACAAGACCAGCTTACTCGGATTGGATAATTCCGCAGGACACTCCTCGGGTGCTGTTGCGTCGTACCAGTTGGCCGGCCAGCTCGCTCTTCTGTATGGTTGTTCAGAGTGAATGTGTATTTACATGGATAATTTGTGGTCTCCCTTTTGTCTTCAGAATGTCTTGCCTCTGGCGTCTGCCTCTCGGCATGCCTGCTCAGCTCAAAAGCCTCCCCAGCTCTCCCTCCAGGTACGGCTAATAGCGGCTGATAAGCCAATTCCACCAACCCCCAAGTGTGACGTCAGTGTTGACCCTGCCTTCCACCACCTGCCTAAACCACACCCACAAGACAGTCATTACACTACCATTAAAGCTATCATAGCATGATGTAGCGGTGACATTTCATATCCAAAAGGTCGGAGGTCAACCTCACTGTGGCCATGTCTCAACATCATAACTCAGGAACAGAAGGAGACATTTGGTTGGCAGCTTAATTGATGGCACTAATCTTAGGTGCCCACCTTGAAACTGTGCTGATGGATCTTCTGTGCTGCCGAAGGGAAAATGGGTGTGAAGCATTCATGTTTTCATAGACATAGGCTGTATACTGAAAGTGCAACTTAACCGATTTGTGGAGGCGTACAACCACAAGGGTGATAATAACCAGCTATATAATTTGGTAGCTAATTGAGTCTTTTAACCAACGCATTATAATAAATATTGAATACTACCCCAGAGTTTACGAAAACATCAAAAAAGAACTGAACAACTGCACAACATGTGTGTGTGTGTGTTTTGCTCTGTGAGGTCCACAATAATCCGTCTGGCTGAAGATGAAAAAGGCCCCCAAAAAATGAGCATCTGGCTGCAAGATTTGGCACATCACACATCAGAAAGGAATTTCATGTCTTTTTGAGAGGTACAAAGCTGAAAACAATAAAAGTGTGGTACTGCAAGAAAGATTCAGAAACGTACTTACTTTAATATCTTTATTATTCTATTTGTTGCATTCATTACATCAACTTTACATAGTTGGTCATAATGCAGTGTTTCATATTTTCTTCTTCTATTATCAGACTGTACTTTCTCTGTACAGGGTTGGATACTGTGGTGCACTTCAGTCTATTTTTGACAAACGTTATAAAGCCACATTTCAGAATTATCCTAAGTTAAGCTCTGAGCTCATAATCAAGGGTGCATGCGTATAGTTAAACTATACACAGAGGAATGCTGCCTAAACTCCTATTATTGGTGAGGAATGTGATCATATGCTTTGATATACAAGATTAAAGCTTAAGTTTTTAAATACCCACATGATGTATCCCAAAAGCCTCATAACATATTGTAGGCATTAAGGTGCCTCTTTGATCCAAATGAGCAAGCAGAGTTTGACTTTTTTTCCCCCATAAACACTCACAGTGCGGCACTTCTGGACATTTAATCATTATCAAACCACGAAGCCACCCACCACAGCCCAACCTGTACACTCATACTCACATCTTCATACACACGATCTCTCTCGACTCTACAATGTCGACAGGCAGCAAGACACGCATTCCTTTCAGGGGCACCAAAAAGGTTTCCTCTGGGAATCAATTCAAGCTATCTGACCGTGGAATTTAACCTCTAAGAAATATGCGCACACACACACACACACACACACACACACACACACACACTACACAAACAGACTTTGAACACATGTAGAAAAGTTTGCAATAGATATTACATAAACAACACATAATTATGCAGCTGTCTTAGTTGAACAAATGAAGGACGTGCCTGACCCCACCCAGCTTGGACAATACACAGAAGTGATGGAGGCCTTCGGCTGAGGTACGAGAAGTAAAACCTTGAGTTTCAGTTAGCTAATGTTACTGAAAGAAAAAGGCTGGCCATGGTCTGTATTTTTCATATTGTCAAAAAGTGTTAGCTCACCTCTACAATACTGGCTTGGCTGGAGAATTAGGACAGGGATCTTTAAAAACAGCACGTGAATTTATTTCAGCTTGTGGCCAAATAAACAGCTTGGCACTGTCCTTTTTAGCAAATGTTATTTAAAAAGTGCATTTTTTGGGGACTATTTTCAGCTGCGGATTAATATGCAATAAATTACAGTGCCCATGTTCAGGTCACTGCTGCATTATGTGGCTTATTGATGTGTTTTTAGACATCAATGCAGGGGTATGCTGTATCAGACTTTGGCCTGCTAAAGACAGTTGCTGTTAATAGAATCAATTCATTGTTGGTTTTAGTGTTTTCATGAGATTGGTTGAATAAGAAAAAATATATCACCAGACTTTATCCTTAAAGGATCGGGCAAAAGACAGAGACAAACAGAGGGAAATATTTTCAGGTTATGCAATATGTTGCAACAGCAGAATCACTGTGCTTTAATTTACCATACAGTGACTCCGCTGCGTGCTGTGGAGAGTGTGTCCATCGACTCAATCAATTACAGAGCCAGAGAGGAAAGATATAAAAAAAAAAGATCCGCTCAACATTTCCTCATTGACGTTATGTGAGGATAGCCTGGAGATTATATAAGAGTCAGGCAGGAGAGCAGAGATGAATGTCGCTGTACAGTTGGCGTTCATAAATAGGATTGTATATGACATCCTATCGATGTGTGTCAGAATATCTTCCCTTTGTACCAAGGTGATAACAAGGATGATGGTGATGACGACGACGATGATGATGATGATGCAGGGAAACTATTCTTCAAGGTTGGCTCTGAGAAGCACTGCATCTTGTTTTCAGCCTTTGTTCTGATCTGAGAGATTAATCAGCTGGAAAGAAATGTATGAGTGATGACACAGAATGGAACATTTTGCATTAAAATGTGATTTCAAATGTGACTTAGTGCAGCTATGATACAACTATATGATACACATTGCACTGCTAGCTCTACCACACAAATCCATGGTTGGTTTTCTTCATGCACAGACAGAAATCATCGATTGGACATGTGAATAAAGTGCAGCTGGAGTGCAGGTAGCGAAGAAATAAAGGTGAAAAGGCTGTAATGTTCTCATGGATGTGGATGACATAAGCATGACCTCATGCCACTTACCTCCTGAGCCCCTTTCTCGACAGTAGGAGGATCGCATTAAGAGGCTCATTTCATTTGTTTAGATAAGGGAGTAAGCTTCTGAAAATCAAACTATAATTGTTGTTCATTCAATATTTCTATTTTCAATAAGCCCTGGTAGTTTGCTGGCACAACAGAAAAGGGTCCACGAGAGAGTCAAGGGACCGCTCAGACCACTCATGTCTGTAATATCAGCAGGACAGAGAGGACTGAATGCTGTAGATGTTCTTACCATAAAGAGATTACAACAAGGAGGTTAAATAAATGACTTTAGAAGAGAGTATTTAAGTTTTATGGATATAGATGAAGCCAAATTATAATGACAAAAGTACCCTGTGGTTTGTTCATGGGACGAAGTAAATGTTTCACTTTGATAAAATCACGAGGGTTTCAATTTCTTACAGCAACAACCAAGTCTCTCTTGAGAAAGAAACCCTGTGTCTGAATGAGACCACCAGTTTAAATAAAGGTTCAATAAAAATAAACAAGTGCTGCAGTGGTTGGGGATTTGTCTTAGAATATGCTAAACAAACCCCAGAGTCACGCTTCATTATTTCATAAAGACGGATGAAAGAAATCCTTAATGCAGTGAGTTACAGAGGAAAGTGGAACAGAGGCTAGCCCGTCAGTGTTGCAGCACAACCCAAAGGCCCACTGTTCCTTTTCATTGTCTCTGCAGACACCCGGGCAGTTTGCCAAAACCCACAACTGGGAGGGAGCCTCGAAAAACAAATTTTATTGACCTTCGAATGACTTCTTGAGGGAATGACGTTAGCAGGGTTGCAAATGTGTAGAAACTTCCCCAAATAAGCCAAGAGAATAACGTCAGCTTCAGAAAAGGTACATTAACATCATTACAAAAAAAACTGATTTCTATTCCCAATGTAATCTGATCACAATTATCCTTAAAGTGAAATAAATTCATTTTCCAAGTTGTAACCCTGTAACAATGTTTACTTATCTCTTGTTTAAGGTCAAATACATGTAAAATATATATATTTTGTTGTCTTATATTTCTCTATTTTTCTCCTGCTATAAAAGATTTAAGTGTTTTTGATAATTCATCTGGAGCACTGGGTATTATATATACAAGTTAACCCCACCCATCACCAAAAAAGACAACTGGGTGGTGGTAGCAAGTAAAAATGATAGCAGATGTTATGTTTTTGGATATCAAATGGCCAAAACATGGTATAAATTTACAAAGGGGTGTAATTTGAGGTTTGAATTTATTAATTTCGCCATCATTTTTTTTTTTTTTTTCAATTTATTTGATTAGGACAGTGCACATTAATCAACATTTTAGCAAAAAGCATCAATATAAATATGCCGGAGTTAACACAGTTGCTAAATTTCATCTGTTGTCCTATGGCAGGTATCATAAAAAACATACAGACAATACAGGGAGTGTGTTGGTGAAGGCCAAACAACACAGACTGTCATTGACAGACTGAAGAATTTTTGTCCCCACTGTCTTCTGCACATCTGTATCTAAATGACCTGGTGTATAAACAACAAGTATGACACTTAATTCTTGACATAAACCTTGACACTGACAAACATGATCTCACCTTCTTTGCGCAGGAAACACTTCCACAGGCAGAAGCAGAGGGACATGACCAACAGGGCAGCCACTGTGGTGACTGAGATCAGGATGGTGAGAGCCGTCCCAACTAGGAGGGAGAAATCCAGAGAAGTGATCAGCTGTTTAATTATCTGCCACATAAACTACAGCATGTAAATCCTGGCCACATTAAATTTAATGATACGTGTCGGTATGTGTGTCTGAGTACTGTAAGGCCTGTGCCAGTCTAAACACTGCTTCCCTTTTATGGACCATCACAAATGAGATTTGAGATTTAATCTACAGTGTTACTTACTGATCACTGTAATTGTAGACTCCTGACCCATGAAATGAAGGTCAGCCACAGGTTATCAGCAAACTAACGTCACAACAGTCACACATGTTATGAGCACATTTACCTATACTGTCCAACACAGACTGCATAAAAACTAATACTGATTTTTGTTTTAGTTAAATATAACGTATTTTACAAATGTTGTACAGAAAAAAATTGTTGCAACATAAGAGTAGTCAAAGAACTTCTACCTTCCCTTTATATTCAAAAGGGAGAAGTCAGACACTCTTCTAATAATCAAATAATTTCAGTCTAACACAGCAACTTTTGTTTTAGCAGAGATCTTAATCAGGCATCGTCAAATAACTTTTGGAAGGTTTTTCCCTCCATTCTCAAAGAAAATCTTGACCACACAAGCACTGCTAGAAAAGCAAATCCTGTCTAAATGAAATCACAATGACACAAGTGAAGCACTGTCAAGAGCATGCCAAACTAACAGGCGGTGATATAACCCTAACCCTAAAGCCAGGCAAAGAAGAAGAAGAAAAAAAAAGAAGATGTTGGCCAATCAGAAGCCTGGAAAAAAAAGCTATCGACAGAGAGCTACCTGGAGCAGTGACCTCTGTAGCTCTTTCAGATGCTAATGTTGCTCAGTATAGTGGTAGTGTGACTCTGCATTTATCTGTAAACATATAAAAAGTCCTGTTGGCAAGGTAGAGCCAACACTATTTTGGTTGTGTCTGCCATTGCATGACATGTCGCCTTATTTGTGACGCCTCACAAAGGTGATAGCGAGGCACACTCTAATGTCTCAATCCAAAAGATGCATTTACCCTGTCTACACGTTAAGACTGAAAACAGAGTTTCTGAAAGTCTTCACCCCAGTGACCTAAAGCGCAGTCTGTGTGTGGACGAAAGGCCAAAATGCATAGAAAAAGCTACATTTTAAAATATACCCGTGTAGTGTGGGCAAGGCCATGGACATGTGCATCACTCAGGCAGTTTGCATGATTGCATGAATGGACCAAGCACTTTATGTACATTAGTGTACACTCTACATTTGTGTCCATAGTCCAAGTACTTCTGGAGTGTACCAAGAAAAATAAAGACACAGTGCTATCATAAATGCTGAGGTGAAACATATCATTGAAGCAAAGGTTCTTTGACACCAACTCACTTTTAGTGTTCATGGATACAGCAATCGGTGACTCGAGCCCTTTGTGGTGCACCAAGCATTTGATGGACACGTCTTTCAGCAGCCCTGATTGGACGGTTAGCGTACTGATGACATGAGTGGTCCCGTCGCTCTGTAGGATCTGTGTCGTCACAGGAGGGCCCATGGTGCGGTTATCCCTCTCCACGTTCCACACTATCTCTGCTGGTGGTCGTGACACTGAGGTGCAGTTGGCTTCAATCACACCTGGAGAGGTTGTCTTGTAGCTCACCTGTGGTTTGGGCAGCACTGGGAGAAATAAACAGGCATCACAACACACAGTTACACACAAACAGCAAGCTCATACTGTAATAGATGTATAGAGCACATATGACAGACTCACTGTTATGCACTGTGCCATGGTATAAAAGGATAACTAACCTGGACCCTATATTCCCATGTTTTTGTGTCTACGTGACCAATGGGAACAACCATTTTTGAAATGTGTTGGTTGAAATTGGGTTTAAGTGTCTGAAAACATTATGGAAAGGATCCCTACAGAGATAGACCTTTTTGTCAAAGCGTAGAATCCTTTTTTTTTTTTTACCAGAAACAGCCAGATATCGCTATTGCCAAACCCACCACATTTCTTTTAAATAAACATCCATTTTAACATGTATAGAGCCAGCACATTTTCACATCTAACTCTGTGAATTAAAGATTTATTTCAACCAAACCAGAGCTGGTGATTGTTGGAACAGCGGAAAAATGAACCAACACAGTTTTTGTGAGTTTTATTTTGTTTCTGGTAACTTACTTACAATACTAAGTGATATTAAAGTTCATTACTCCACTTGTTCAAGTAAAGCTGTTATGCACAACACGTTCTCATTCACTCACTCCATCCATCCATCCATCCATCCATTTTCATCCCCTTTTCCAGGGCTGGGTCGTGGGGGCAGCAGGCCAAGCAAAGCACCCCAGACATCCCTCTCCCCAGCAATGCTTTCTAGTTCCTCCTGGGGGACCCCAAGGCATTCCCAGGCCAGATGAGACATGTAATCCCTCCAGTGTGTCCTGGGTATGCCTCCTGCCAGTTGAACATGCCCAGAACACCTCCAAGAAGAGCAGCCCGGTAGGCATACTGATCAGATGCCCGAACCACCTCAACTGACCTCTTTCAAGGCGATGAAGCAGTGGCTCTACTTTGCGTTCTCTCCAGATGTCCGAGCTCCTTACCCTATCTCTAAGGCTGAGCCCAGCCACCCCACAGAGGAAACTCATTTCAGCTGCTTGTATCCGCAATCTCCTTCTTTCGGTCACTACTCAGAGCTCATGACCATAGGTGAGGGTTGGGACATAAATGGACCAGTAAAACAAAAGCTTTGCCTTACGGCTCAACTCCCTCTTCACCACAACGGTCCGGCGCAACACCTGCATCACTGCAGATGGTGCACCAAACCACAAATCCATCTCACGCTCCATTCTACCCTCACTTGTGAACAAGACCTCGAGATACTTGAACTCCCCCGCTTAAGCCACTAACTCTCTTCCAACCCGGAGGAGGTAATCCACCGGTTTCCGATAGAAAACAATGACCGCTGGACCAATGCTGGACCAGTGCTGGACCAGTGCTGGACCAATTTAAAAGTCTGTTGTTCCCATCAGTCACTTAGACACAAAAATATGGGAAAATAGGGTCTGGGTTGAAAAATACCGAAGTTACCCTTAAATGTATTCTTCCCTATTTCTTTTGTGCTGGTGTGTATAAAGCACACAAACCAGAACACTCTGGAAATGTTATCACATAATGATCAAACACTAAGGTGGTCTGGCATATGAAACATGCTATTCTAATGCAAAACCTGGCCACAATTCACATTGTAGTTTAGTTTGTATTTATACATCTTCAAACTGTCTTTGGGTAAATTGCTGAGATGATACCTGGGGAAAACCTTGAAGCCTTTGGATCAAGTAAGGTATGTGAATTCCTGCTCTCTTAAGATCCATAAGTAAATCTCTGGCTGTTTTCAATTCTCTGTTCTCGGGGCTCAGCGAGGAATGTGATGCACTGGAACTGAGAACATTTGTGTTGGCAAGAACATGTTCAGCCACAGATATTTAGCCCTCATAGTTTCTGCATCTTCTCAGAGTTCTAGGTGGTGAACTTCACCCACCATCGGTCTGGATCGTATCAGATTTTGGGGTGGGTTAAACCACAACAGGGAATAAATCTTTATAACAATCCAAACCACGACGACCTGTGAGAGAAAACAGAGCAGTTTTTCCTCACTGTGTTTCTCACTACAAAACTCTGTAAGGCCAAAGGGAGCTGTGGCTGCAGGTGATTAGTTTATCGGTGTCACTAGGAGTGATCACTATCCTTTTACATTGTCATATGGACACATTGCTTCTTTTTTAAGAATGTAGATTTAAACTACTTTACATAAAGTGCGAAAAAAAGCCATCACTTTGTGTGACTAAACTGTCTGATGCTCTTTCTCTCTGTCAGTATTAGCTCGCTCTACCTGGACTGTTCACTGATCAGCATGCAGCAAGGTCATGATCCATCCTTCTTGGCCCAGATCACGGTGGCCCTCAATAGAGAAGGACATTAACTTGTAACGATGGCACTACTAATGCCGTTTCTTTCTCGTATCGGATTACGTTTGTGGATATTACTGTGTGCACACATCAAAAAAATTGAGTCTGAACTCTTGTTGGAATGGGGAGACCAAATGTTAGGACCTATGAAAGAATGCTGGCAACAGAAATTGATTATTGTTATTCATGTGCAGTGCAGATGTACTGCAAGACTTATTTTTGCAATTACTGAATGAATTGTTTTTGTGCAAAATAGTCTGTAAGGTAACACCACTGCATCTCCTGCTTTTACAAAAAGGATCTGTATTCTTCTGCCACCACTGACATCTAATGTCGTGATGTTGTCCTATGTAACAATGTGATCTCATGTCTACTCGTCATATTTTGAGGTTTGGGCAGAAGAAGATAAAGATATACTTTTTCACACAAACACATGCACAAACAGGATCTATACATTTATCAAATGGAGAGCTGTCAGAGTGAGGGGGCTGCTCATGGACATGTGCCCTGAGCAGTTGGGGGGTTTGATGCAATGCCCAGAAAGTGAACTGGCACCTCTTCCGCTACCAATCCACCCTCTATATTTGGTCTAGACAGAGACTTGGACTGGCGACCCTCTGGTTACCAACCCAAGTCCCTATGGGCTGAGCTACTGCTGCCCACAGAAGTTACTAAAATACCACCAGGGGCAGCATTTCACATTGTATTTTGATGCAGAAGAGGTTTGTGGATAGATTGAGGCAACAAAACTACTTGGTTATGGTTAGCAAAAGATTGAGGATGTTGCTAAAAAACACCCATCTTTGAGTGGCACAAATATGGTGGCAACAAGGGGTTAGCAGTTAAATTTAGACAACAAAACTACTTAGTTATGGTTTGGACTAGATTGTGGATGTCACAGTAAAAACACCCAGCTTTGAGTAGCACAAACTCCACAACCGATGTTGTCTGAGCACCAGTCTCCTGGGTCAAAGCCTGCTTGTTGGACCCATCTACCTGCCCTCCTACCTACTCCCACCCACCATAAGCAAACTTCAACGCTCTTTAAACTATGTTGATTGCTCTGGGTGTTGGAGGAAAGTCTCACACAGATGCTAAACAATGACACTGCCAAAGCGACATGTTTTGGCGCCCTGGGACTGGGACCAGGCTGCATGTATGTTTAAAACCACAGGCATTTATGGTGTGATTACTTCAACTTGCATTATAGTTCAGTTTAGGGTTACTCATTTTGACCACTTCTCTCCTATTGTTCCTGCAAGTTATGTTTTTTAACATGCTAAAGGGGTAGGACTAGATAAGTTTTATTAACTTCATGCTACATCCTTTCGAACATGGAATGGCTATTTATGTTGTTATAGAGTTGTCACATCAACTTGTTTTTTTGGGTTTTTTTTTGCCTAAACTTTATTTTTTTATTGTGTTTGTTTGTTTTTAACCTGTTCAAATAAATAAAATAAATGAAAATGAAAAAAATGAAACCCACTATTTAGAAAGCTAATGAAATTTTGCAGCTTTCCTAAACAATTTTACATGATTTTGAACATGTGATTTTTACGACTTATTCAGGTTGTAATTTATTGTAAGATCATGTGCATTTGTGTGCTTTAGCTATCACTGTTTGTGGGCAGCATGTCTGAGAAGGGGAGTAAAGGAGGGGGCATCACATCATCCAGGGTGGGTGAGGGTGAAAGACTGCTGGCAGCAGCACACAGCAAGAAAAAAAAACGTTAATGCTGATTGTTCGTCACTATTAGAAACACCTACTGTACTGTACAGTTCAGTTTCAAACAAAAGCACATCTGTTTGTTGAGATAACTGTGAGGGAAAGGGAGCGAGAGAAACTGAGCAAAGGGAGAAAGACAAAGACAAAGCACAGAGGGAATCACTGTCCGCTGCGAACACTGACACAGTCATGCATCAGGACCTCGCTCCCTGCCTCCATCATTCTTTCGAATGGTCCATTCTTCACATGGACACACACTGTTCTGTGTTTGTGTGTCAGCCAACAGCTTAGTCTTGCTATATCATGAAAACATTCAGCAGCAACAATCGGGAAGAAAAGATCAACATTCCTGTCTAAATCCCAGGGGTGTCTTTCCTGCAGACTCAAATCCAAGTTGAGTTTCTCTGCACTCGCACGCATGTCAGACTGCTTGGTTTTCCCCTCAAGAACCCCAGCACGTAAATCTACTGTAGGACATATCCTCACACTACTACAGGCTTGCAAAAATGTGAGCAACCTGAGCAACTTGTGCCTACTGATGAGTGTCTGTGGGAACAACAATTTTTACTGCATTGATCCAGCGATGGAAATGTCAGTTAGTCTGTCAGTCCAACACTTCAGTCAAGTGGAAGACGTGTCAATTTGATGGACTGCCGTGAAATCTGGAGCACAATTTAATAGCCTTACCATCTGCGCTTTAGCCAGTGGTTTCTGATGTGGATGGTGCGTCATAGTCTCTTGCTTGAAAAATTACAAAACGACCCATTGTGGCTGACAAGAATGTCCGTATACATGACATACCAGTAATAATACAACTAGGTGGCCAATATCTGAAAAAAAAGGTGCTCACATGTAACAGTTAACCTATCATTAATGTATTGTACCATAAACTTAACAGGTTTTAGGAATAAGCCAATTCATTTTTTGCTAATTTGGATTCATGTTCATGTGTATTTACCGTAACATTTAGGACCTCCAAGGAGTCATGGACCCTGTGTTAAAGAGCCAGGCACAAGACTGTTTCTTTGCTGAGCCATGATAGAGGAATGCGTCCCGGTAAGTTGCTACATGTAACTGCCAGGACAACTTTATTTGGAGAAAGGCACACATTACCTTCAACTGATCTTGGGATTTTGTGTAATTTCGTTTACGTAGAGCCAGAATAACTGCTCCCACTTTGTCCAGTTGGGATGCTAAGCTACGCTAACCGGCTGCTGGTGGTAGCCTCGTATTTAATGCATAGACACGAGAGCGGTGTCACTTTTTTTAACTCTCAGCAAGAAAGTGAAAAAGCCTATTTTCCAAGATGTAGACCTACTCTTTTAAGAAAGCATATTTGCACCAAACAACACCAATCATTTCACAGCCTTATGGCCCCCCTCATTCCTACATTGCATGATGCTACAGTGAAGAAAAATGTCACGAACAGCGTCAACCCAACCCAATCACTAAATGTCCGCTATATTGTGCATAACCTGCTCTACCCAGGTGGAGCTCAAGTTTCCCCACACATTGCCACTTTGTCAGTGATTTTGGTGTCAGACACCGGTGCAAAAAGGTACCTTTTGCAGTGGTATAATACGCTGCCAGGCAGTCAGTAATGCCACAAACAGCATCAGTAACATGAAGGTAGGAGGGGAGGTGGATAGGACCAACAAACGCCAGACTTTCCCCAGGGACCAGGCTGTTCGCTTCCCATGTGAATGTTGAGAAAATCCATGATGTTTTCTCTGAACCTAACCACTTGCTTTTTTTGCGCAAAGAAAACAATTATTAAAAAAAGAGGTGTTTCACCTATGTTTAAAGTGTATTTTGAAAAAGACTGTCTACATCTTTTGAAAAGAAATTGTAATTTCCTATGAAAACAGAAGTGTACTTTGAAAAGACACAATGCATGTAACAAGTGTAAATTGATATGCCGTCCTGGAACGTCAACAATAGATGCAGAAGGGTATCTAGCGCATCATATTTAGACTTGAAAGTCCACTGACAAAGTGGCAATATTTGACGAGTTGAGATGACAACACATTGGTTTCTCTCACCTGTTTTGTTTGTGTGTGCCATATTTTCATAAAGTGTAATTTAGAATAATCAGCCATAATGGCAGGCTGGGATAAAAAAGTTTACCATAGGTGGCGAGGCAAACCGTGGAGCTCTTCGGCCCATTGGGATGTGTGTTGTACAGGCAAGTGTAGCAGCCCTCGTCCGGGATATTGACAGGCTGGATGGTGAGCTGACTGTCAGACAGGGAGGCACTCAGCCAGATTCTCCCCTGGAACTGAGGCTCTATCATGGGGTCGCTCCGCTTTGCAAAAGAAGCCACCTCTGTGGACACCCCTTGTGCAGAAGTGTGTGTCCATATGATCTGCTCCACCTTTTCGGGCAGACCGTAGGAGCATGACAGGGAGATCTTCTTGCCACTCACTGCTGTCTTGTTTCTATCAGCGGTGATTTGCGCTGTGTGTAAAAAGAGACCAACATCCAGTGGGAGAAGGATGGATGAGGGGAACAGAAAAGGGAGACAGAGGGTAAAAACAGGACATTGTTAATTTTCAGAAATATGAGGCACCCAAACAGAAACCAGTCACTGGAATCTGCAACAGCTGTTTCTGCTTAGAAAAATGAGCCCTCCTTCTCTCACTGCTCCACAGCTCTTTATTAACATGACTGGCTGAGCCTCAGCAGGCTCATCAACTTGTGTTCAGAGGTTATGGGCGGTTAGGGACATCTGTATTCACATATTTTCTCAGTAAATCCCCACAGCAGATTGATATTGAGGTTGTAGGGAGGAGTAACTGTTCCCGGAGTCTACCGGGGAATTGGTTTTGTTTAATTTTAAAGGGTGGGTGCAAAGGGCAGGCATGAGAAATCAGTTATGCCACATTCATGTAATATGGTTTAAAATGTAATTACGAGCAGCAGAAAGGGAAATCTGTTCTGTGTCAGCCTTCAACTTGTGATTAACACTGACACTGATGGTATCTTTCTTATCTTCCTATCTTTAATACTAATACAATTGATTCGGCTAATTTAAAAGGAGTGTTATTCTTCACTTATACTGGTAGCTACTGTATATAAGACAGTTACTCAAAGAAATATGTCAAATTCAGACAGAAAAACAGATTAATATGAATGATTGATGCTGCATATAACATAGGAAAGATCTGATTCAGTGTCCTAAATGTGAGCTACACAGTTTGTTTCTAAGGGTGAGATTTCTTTTCCTTTACTGAGTCATCATGGTGGACACCTCTCCCACCTGCTTCATGACCTTCATAACTGTGTCACAATAGTAAAGCCACATCCTGGCTTGTATCACGGGCTGAAATAAACCCCTCATGTTTCATCTACATCCTTCCTGTCAGGGTTGAATATATGTCAAGCCTTGTTTACACCTGGTATTAATGGTGTCATTGGACAGCTCAAGTGTGAATGCACCCAGTGTGTCTTTAAGATCTGATCGCTCAGCAGTGTGAACACTCATGTTTCCTGGGCCACATTGACTTAGATCAGCAAACTTTCATTTGCTGCCGTTACACAGGTAAAAAGGACTGTTCCTGGAGCCGCTCTCATCTCGGTGAATGGTCAGTGCAACATCTGCTTGGTAAGCACAAGCTGACACAGCAACAAAATGTCCCAGCAAACTCACAGCGACACCGAAACAACTCTACTCCTGCAAACTGTCACCTCAAAGCAAATGAATAAATTAGTGTTTAAGTGTGCCTATAGCATGACCAATGTCCTGGCAGTTAAACATGCATTTGGTCTTCCATCCATTTTCATCCACTTATCTGGGGCCAGGTCACGGGGGCAGCAGGCCAAACAAAGCACTCCAGACGTCCCTCTCCAGCAACGCTTTCCAGCTCCTCCTGAGGTACCCCAAGGCGTTCCCAGGCCAGATGAGATATGTAATCCCACCAGCGTGTTCTGGGTCTGCCCCGCGGCCTTCTACCAGTGGGACGCGCCCAGAACACCTTTAACGGGAGGCACCCAGGAGGCATCCTGATCAGATGCCCAAACCACCTCAACTGACCCTTTTCAACGTGAAGGAGCAGTGGCTCTACTCCGAGCTCCAGATGTCTGAGCTCCTTACCCTATCTCTAAGGCTGAGCCCAGCCACCCCACGGAGGAGACTAATTTCGGCCGCATGTGAAATGGCATATTTGGACTCTGAGCACCTTGCCCAGTATGGGGACACTGGGCACCCCCCCTGGAGCCAGACCTGCAGGGGGAGCTCACCAGCGAGTGTCTGGTGGCCGGACCTTGGCGCCTTGGTGACTGGTTGGGCTCAATAAAAGCACAAACTAAATTCCTAACATCTAAATAGATCGGTTCTCTTACTTGTGCTTAAAACATGAAAACTCAAATTATTGGGCTGTAGAACAGAGATACAACATCTTTGTTGAAGATTTTTTGGGAATTTTATGTCTTTGTTGGAGCCAACAGTTGAAACATAATAAAATGAGGGGACAACATCTGTTAAAACTGTATCTGTACACCACACTGCATGAAGTTGAACTAACTTCCTTCTTCATAAAATCAAATCTGTGTCATTAAAGGCCGTACTCACAGGTCACAGTGAGGCACGTCTGTCCCTGCTTTGAACCAGAAGGATGCATGTCAAAGATGCAGGTGTAGCAGCCTTCATCACGGAAGCCCACCCTGCGGATAGTGATAGCTGAGGTGTCTTTCGGGGAGGGGGCGAGCTCCACATACTGCTGCCCGCTCACACTGTCTCTGTTGCCGGGCTGGTAGGTCAGCAGGGTCTGATTCTGGACATCCAGCCAACGCACCTCCCTCAGAGTTTCACCTCGGTCCCTTGAAACAGTGCAAGTCAAAGTGAAGGGCTTCTCCACGGGAGCCTCCTGACGTTCTGGTGCTGTTACCCTGCCTGAAACATCCACCAATATTAAAAAATAAGCATTATAATGTGGTGTGACATGAGTTTTCAAAGTCTTCCAAATCTCTCTAGCATGGCAGACTCACCCTGTAGTGTTCCCACCATCAGTAGGAGTAAACACACCTGCAGACCTTTCCTACAGGAGGCCTGGGTCATCATCATCTTCATCGCTCATTTAACAGGGAGGAGGAAGAGTGGCACTGAGACATTTTACGAGATATCATAGTCAGCCCAACATGAACCCAAACCCTCCTATAATTTAAACAGCTGTTGATCCAACAGTGATACAGTGCCTATTGAGTCAATTCGACTCCTGTGGTCACTGTGCTGTCAAACACATTTAACTGCATACAAACGTCCAGAAAACAGTTCAGTGAGATGCCATGCAAAAATATATCCTCAAGTGCTCCATAACACATACATATATATCAATATATAAAGATTTTCATAAGAGAAACAGATCAGAAATAAGTTATCAAGAAGTATAAGAGCTATCAGAGCTCTTCAAACATTTAAACTTCATTTTCTTGCCACATCTCTGACTAAACCGAATCTATGGGACATTTAAGTCAAACACAATGACTTACAATTAACTTAAATCATAAATTCAAACCCATTCTAGACGAATATACAGCAACTTTATGAAGCAAATAAAAGTTCAACATTTTGTTTTATTTAATTAGACAACCTGTAGTTAATCAAGAGATCTGAGAATTGAATTATCTGATATACATTCTATTCCCTGGGTCATAAATTATGAGACTGAGACACTCACCTCTACTTGTCCTAATGCAAAAGGTAAAAGCCAACAGTTGAAGATGTTCTACCTCTGACACATCCTGCCCGTCCTTATGAGCCAGCAGTCTTTTGAAACATCACTCCAGACCGAGCGAGAAACTATTTTTACTCCTCCGTGTGTTTTCTATTCTGCGCAGCAGCTGCACAATGAACACCAGCCGGCGGCAGCTCCAAACCAAACTTCACTTCCAGAGGATGCACTGGAGTTCTGACTGCAGGAGAAGCCACATCGCGGCTCAGTTGTTGCCAAACAGCGCTATCTAGTGTCACTTTGTGTACATTGCTCTGAGGGACAGGTGGAAGTTTTTTGAATCCAGGATTCCTGTTTCTATAGCCTATAAGTTGCCTAGAAGTAGGACTAATTGTTTTGTTAATTTGGTTTCCTTTGTGGCTAAATGTACTGAGGCCAAATTTGGACTCATGTTGCAGTAAGTGGTGAAAGAAATAGTTCATTAGACGTGCTAAGGCCTGCAACTTAATCAACTTTATCTTTGTTGTCCAGAGGAAGAAATCCAGACAGGGACATCAGTCCCTAGAAGATGAATAGGCAATACAAAACTGTATTATATGTGAAATACATACATAAATAAAATCTTATTGTAGTAGCAGTAATGTAAAATTAAACAAGTATTTGCAGAAAGCATATATATTTGGGTGTCAGAAAAGTAGGCTACTAGTTGTGAAGAAAAGATAGTAATGTTAATAATGATAAAAATGAAATAAATAGATTAATTAATAAATTAAACAAAATAAATTACAGAACAAAATAAACTATTACAACTTTGGACGGAGACTGAGAAAATAAGTTTTCAGGGCTTTCTTCCTCTTCTTCTTCTTCTTCTTCTTCTTCTTCTTCTTCTTCTTTTTCTTCTTCTTCGTCTTCTTTTCAAAGCACTCATGGACATCTTACAAGACAAAGTAAAAAAAACCCCAAACAAACAGCAATGTATCCATAGATCATAAAATCAACAATTCCGTAATATACAATGACATAATAATAACAATGATAAAAATAGTAATAGATTAATTTAATTACATTAATTAATACATGTTAATATGCTAAAATGTCTATTATTATTATTATTATTATTATTATTATTATTATTATTATTATTATTATCATTAGTAGCAGGAGCAGTAGTAGTAGTAGTAGTGGTGGTAGTGTGTTTTGTGGCCCCCTACAGGTTAACATGGTAATTACAACGACCATGCCAAAATCCTCACAGCCTTAAAAAAAAAAAAAAAAAAAAGTGACCAACTTCATGACCATAAACTAAAAATATTTATTATATTTCAAAACGTTTTAAAGTACTATGGATTGTTTTAATTTACTTTTTAGTTGGTGTCTTTTCTTTGCGAGACGTCACAGTTTTGAGACGGAAGTCTCCTCGTCGGACTCATCTTGATGACGTATACACATGGCCAACCGTTGCAACTTGACAGCTGAACAACAAATGCTCCTAAAATGAGCTCAATAGCAACATAGCGAACATTTCATACAGGTCAAGACTGATAGTTTCTGTCATATCAACATGAATTAAAGCAGTCCTCGGCCCTGCTACACCTTTACGGTCAGTTTCTGTCGCGGAGTAAAGGCTGATTTACAAACATCATCATGTCGTTTCTGGTGGACTCAGTCATCATGTTCACCTCACAGGTAATGAAGAGTTGGTAAAGTCAGTAAACTGTAACGTGTGTTTCTCTAACTGAACAAGAATATACAGCGCATGTTGTGAGCCAATGTTATATTAAATGTTACCAGCTAACGTTACATTAAACGTTACATTTCGACTGTCTTCACCTACAGCGCTCTTGTTCTTCCTGTAGAAGTTTTAACATGTCTATTATCTGAATCAAAAGGGTAAAAGACGTCTTGAAAACAGCCAGCATGTCACTGTCTGTTACTGTTTATAACAGCCATTTGTCAATTAATTAAACACTGAATCTAATCTCTTTTACTTAGTTACTTTGTCATGACCACATCTTTCAAAGTTCTTGAAATGTTTTCCTGCTAAAACTCAACCACCAGCAACACTCTGTCTATTAGCAGCTCGTTTTGCACGATTAAATGCAACATTAGAAGTTATTCCATTTAAATTGTTTACCTTACATTACACAAATTATGGTTATGCTCATTGTAATGCTATCTGTTGTCAGTGCTTAACTTCATCATGTTATGAATAAAAACTTTAGGACGTTAAATCAGGCTGGGCGATATGTCCTGAAAATTAGATCGCAATATTTTCAGACTATATCTCGATACACGATATATATTTCAATATTTTTTATAAAATCTCCTCAAAAGCATGCTAGGACTGGCAGACAAAATCAAACATAACAATATTGCTGACCAATTACCCTCTCTAATGCGACAAAGTTGTAGGGATGACTATTGCTACTAACACAATTAGTTTTTTGATCAATAATCATCAATAATGGGAATGTAATGACTAAGTGGGTTAAGGCAAGCGCTAAAACAAATAGAAATGTCTTTAAAGCAATGGAAAAAAAATATCACAATTTATGCCATATCACAATACAGTAATATCCAGAATCTAAGATGATACAGTCTCATATCTTGATAATGTTATAATATATTCATATTGCTTAGCCCTAATGTTTAATGAACTGTTGTGCTGAGCTGCAGGTTGGTTAAGAGAGCTGACAGTAACCATTAGACCTTTTTCCCCACACCAAGTTTTTTAACTTGCAGAAAAAAAGCACAGCTATTACTAACATCAACCATGGCTCTGTTTTATTCTAGTGTCCCAGTAAGTCATGACAGTGTGACAGTGAGCCAGAACAGATTGCAAAAACACTATAAAAGGCTTAATTCATAGATATGAGATGAGATCCATTGCTAATTTGATTTAGCTTGATAAAACTAAGGCAGAAAAAACAGGAAATGTAATCATCCCCTCCTCTCCTTCCTCCAAATAATCCCCATTTAATCCAACACAGGTGCTGTTCTTTGGATTTGGCTGGTTATTCTTCATGCGGCAGCTGTTTAAAGATTATGAGGTACAGTATTTTCCCAAAGCATTTATTTACAGCTGACCCCTGGATGTGTTGACCACTGGCTCAGGCATAATAACCACTGGTCATCACCACTAATACAGCTGTAGTCCTCATCAATCACTGGTGGTCCTCCATGTGAACAGTCTTCACTGTCTTTGTGTTTGTTGACAGGTGCGACAGTACGTTGTCCAGGTGGTTTTCTCTGTCACTTTTGCTTTTTCATGTACCATGTTCGAGCTCATCATCTTTGAGATTCTGGGTGCCTTAAGTAGCAGGTAAGTACATTGTCTGTGGACTATTACTATGTTTTATTGCTGCTTATTGCAGGTGAAGAATTTTAACTATCATGTTTTTGCCACAGCTCCAGGTATTTTCACTGGAAGCTGAATCTCTATGTGATACTGCTGGTCCTAATCTTTGTGGTGCCTTTCTACATCGGTTATTTCGTTGTCAGCAACATACGCCTGTGTAAGTACAGATAATTAGCTGGCTAGCCTATTACGAATATGATGCTGTAAGTGAAAATGAAAGGTGCTGTTTAACAGATGTTATTTTAACTCATTACATCACAGAAAGCTGTTTTCTTGTGTCTGTGTAGTGCAGAGACAGAAGCTTCTGTTCGCTTGCATGGTGTGGTTTACCTTCATGTATTTCTTCTGGAAGTTGGGAGACCCATTCCCCATCCTGAGTCCAAAACATGGTGAGTGTGCATCCGTCTCCTCTCTGTGTGCACCTACGCCTTATGTATGCCTTTTTCTCATAAATTGTGAGAGCCCTTCATCTAGGAAGATGTTTGAAAAGTGTCATTGTCTTTTTTAGGGATCCTGTCCATTGAGCAGCTAATCAGTCGAGTTGGTGTGATCGGAGTCACCCTCATGGCTCTGTTGTCAGGGTTTGGTGCGGTTAACTGTCCCTACACATACATGTCCTATTTCCTCAGGTGAGCTCAGCTGTGGGTTTTCTCTGATGTTACCTTCATACAACCTGTTCATCTGCTTATGCATCAGACATCCCGAATCCCATCCTTGTTCTCATGACACATGCTGCCATTGCTTCGATGCTTCCTGCTTTGTTATTTTCACAGAAATGTAACAGACAGTGACATCCTTGCTCTGGAGAGGCGGCTGCTCCAGACGATGGACATGATTGTCAGCAAAAAGAAACGGTAAGTAAAAAAGAGTGGTTATTATATTTATTTATTTTTTTTATAAAATAAATAAAATAAATTTTGGTGTTGCTGCAATTCATTCTTTGTGTGTAGGATTGCCATGACGAGGAGGCAGATGTACCAGCGAGGGGAAGACCAGAACAAGCAGACAGGATTCTGGGGCATGATCAAGAGTGTTACCGCCACACAAACAGGCAGCGAAAGTATCCTTTATACTCACACTAAGTATGATTGCAAAGATGCTTCATTTTTAGCTGTTACCAGATAATTATACATTAGTTATCCACAGTAGATGTCAGCCTTGACCTCTTCCCTCCAGACCTGTCTTTGATCCAGCAAGAGGTTGACGCTCTAGAGGAGCTGAGTCGGCAGCTTTTTCTTGAGACTGTGGACCTGCAAGCCACCAAGGTACCACATGTGCATGCATACACATACACAGAGATGCTCGAGCACATGTTGCTCCACTTAACTACAGAGAAACACAGTGTGAATTAAAAACAAAAACATGGAGGAACATGCAGCAATAATCTTGACTGAAGTTATGCAGGTGGAGGAGTGATTTTCAGTGAGTTTCAGAGCATCATCTATTTACCTGGCCTGCAACATTAAGCTGTAAAATATCAATTTTACACTATCTGCTCAGCACCAAACGGCAGACAGGCACAGATACCTACTTGCTGGTGGACATAGTTGAGCACTTAGCAGCTAAAGAGCCACATGATTCCCTCAGGAGTTGCTAGACTAGACAAAAACTGAGTAATAAGATGTGATGTTACCCAGGTAGTGCTCGTCTGCTGTAACGACTCAGTTTACACATTTTTTTAACTGCTGATTCATAAAATTGGAGTACTGCTAGGTGAAACATGTCACAGTAATTAGGGGAAAACCCCAGTAATATAAAGTAGTATTTTATAAATGTCTTTATACATTTATTTTTATATGACATGAAAAAAGTACGGTAAATTAGTGACGCATTCTCCGCCTTGATGACTAACACATAGTTCAAGGCGTGCTTAGTTCTCATTTGATTTTTTACAGCCAGGACAAATGTAATTTAGCAAAATCCATTACAGTACTTTGATTGTAGTCAGTTTTAATTTACTTTTTAGTCTTTTTTTGTTTTGTCATAGTCAAGTTTTAGTCAGTGGAACTTCATTTAAGTCTAATTTTGGTCAATGTTTTAATCAGAATTTTCTCAGACAGTTTCATAATTTTGAAACTGCATCTAAGGAACCAGAGTAACTGTCTGAGAAAATTCTGATTAAAACATTGACCAAAATTAGACTTAAATGAAGTTCCACTGACTAAAACTTGACTATGACAAAACAAAAAAAGACTAAAAAGTAAATTAAAACTGACTACAATCAAAGTTAACACTGATAAGGTGGCTAATGGTCCAAAAACATCTGTTATCACAGGTTTAAGCGTCTGTTTAATGTGTCTTCTCTTAACTTGCACTGTTGATAGTTGTGACTGCTTTATGACTCCTGTAAACGCTCAGTTAAAGTATAATCTGTGGAGCAGTTTCTTTGACAACAAGAGCCATCTGCCCCTCCCGAGAATCAGTCAACAAAGGCCCATCTCCCAAAACAAAATCTCAGTTGCCGAATGTTATCAGTGTGGAGCTTTATCAGCTGTTATCCTGGGTACAGGTGTGGATCCTTGTGTGGGAGCTCTTCTTTGCTCCATTCAACACAACCCTCCCCTCTTCAGCAACAATTTCCAGACTTTCCCCCTCTGTAATTCGAGCCAAGTTTATTGCCTCTGTTGCAACATCACAGTCATACGTCACAGGACCTGATAAAAGAAAAAATTTATTAGCATGCTGTCAGGTCTGCTCTTTCCTGATCACGTGGTTCATACAGATCAGAAGAAAGCGTCATCTGCAGCTGCCCATATCATTTATATGAATGGTTTTCACTCAGATCAGTGCCTGATTACATTGTTTAAACTAAACCCAGAAGTCTCTAGCCCGAGAACCACTGACTGCCATTACAGACACACACTTTTATCTATACAAACGACGCCCACTTTGATTACCCCATAAATGTTTACCAATTCTTTACCACCACCTTTCCTTATCTTTAGGAGCGAATTGAGTACTCAAAGACATTCCAGGGGAAATATTTCAACTTCCTCGGCTACTTCTTTTCCATCTACTGTGTTTGGAAAATCTTCATGGTGAGAACTTCTAAACCTCTGGCATTGTGTCTGTCCCTCACACTCACACTCCCAGTTACATAATCACATGTACAGTGTTTTTATATTGTTTAACATCTAAATCAAAAATGTATTTTAAAAATCTGTCTACTGTTCATCATAGGCTACAATAAACATTGTGTTCGATCGAGTTGGAAAGACGGATCCAGTGACGAGGGGTATTGAAATCACAGTGAACTACTTGGGCATCCAGTTTGATGTAAGACACACACACACACACACACACACACACACACACACACACACACACACACACACACCTGCAGAAATAGTCACATGCCACACCGCATGACCTCCTATAAAGATAATTGTCAGCCCATTATCATCTCTCTGCCTGCATGATCACTATCAATCTTTTGCCACACAGACAATTACTTGATTGCGTTATAGCTCACACCCACAGAACATGGCACTGCATTTAAATTGAAATGAATACATAATACATGCAGATTGAGAGTCCTCTGTCCTTATTTTTTTTTCATCACTTTATTTTTCATAATCTTTTGTTTCTCTTTCTCCCCCTCTCAGGTGAAGTTTTGGTCCCAACACATCTCTTTCATCCTGGTGGGAATAATAATCGTCACATCTATCCGTGGCTTACTCATCACCCTCACCAAGGTAACACTGCCACATGACACATGTTAAAATGGCTACAGATCTTGAGGCACAAAAATCTGAGACTGTTTTTGAATAATATGTCTGTTTAACTAAAGATTTCACGTTTCTTGGGTTTTAGTTCTTTTATGCGATATCAAGCAGCAAGTCCTCCAATGTCATTGTGCTCGTCCTTGCTCAGATCATGGTGAGTGTGTTGCTTTATAGTTGTCTTATAACACAGAGCACAGCCTACAGACAACAGCAGAGTTGGCAGAATGCCAAAATTTTGACTTTGATAGCTATATCAAGTTTAGTAGTGATACTCGATACCGAAACTATACAGATTAGAAGCAGCATTTCCACAAGGGTTGATCACATTTTGTTGCAAAACCATGAGATTTAGAGTGTGTACAAAATTAATTTACAATAAAATCCTAATTACTCCATTTTATTCATACGTATCAGGGCAAATTTCTGATATGTGGTTACATTCACTGGGCCAAATAATAATATATTATGTATGATAGACCTGCCCCATGCACCAGTGTTTTATTTTATGAGTAGTTCCAACGTGACAAACCATGACTCTACCAAAATAAGTGATACTCTAGCCACCCAATCACATTGTTTTTAGCCAGTGGCTGTGTTGCCTAAATTTACAGTGGGAGTGTGTGTGCAATCTTTTTAACCGGCCGTTCTGTCTGATACTATAAAGCCACATTATTTTAGAAGTGACATGCAGCCCTAAGTTATTTAGTTTTTTGTTACTGTTCATTAGAGCACCAAAATTAGACCCTCAAATCACTGCAGCTTAATACATTTGCCATTTGGGAACTTACATTTTCTTATATGCTTGTCATGCTACTTACAATAGGGTAGGCCTGATATTGATACTTTTAAAGATCTTTTAATCTAGGCAGCAGAGCAAAAAACAACCTACGCGTTTCAGCTGTAAGCCTTCATCAGCGTTGATGAGCTTATTTCCTACCTTTTTTGACTCCTTGGAGAGGTCTTGGTGTCTGTCACTGAGGTGCTTGGCGAGGTTTGAAGTAGGGTAGGGCAATATGTACAGTACAGGCCAAAAGTTTGGACACACCTTCTCATTCAATGCGTTTTCTTTATTTTCATGACTATTTACATTGTAGATTCTCACTGAAGGCATCAAAACTATGAATGAACACATGTGGAGTTATGTACTTAACAAAAAAAGGTGAAATAACTGAAAACATGTTTTATATTCTAGTTTCTTCAAAATAGCCACCCTTTGCTCTGATTACTGCTTTGCACACTCTTGGCATTCTCTCCATGAGCTTCAAGAGGTAGTCACCTGAAATGGTTTTCCAACAGTCTTGAAGGAGTTCCCAGAGGTGTTTAGCACTTGTTGGCCCCTTTGCCTTCACTCTGCGGTCCAGCTCACCCCAAACCATCTCGATTGGGTTCAGGTCCGGTGACTGTGGAGGCCAGGTCATCTGCTGCAGCACTCCATCACTCTCCTTCTTGTTCAAATAGCCCTTACACAGCCTGGAGGTGTGTTTGGGGTCATTGTCCTGTTGAAAAATAAATGATCGTCCAACTAAACGCAAACTGGATGGGATGGCATGTCGCTGCAGGATGCTGTGGTAGCCATGCTGGTTCAGTGTGCCTTCAATTTTGAATAAATCCCCAACAGTGTCACCAGCAAAACACCCCCACACCATCACACCTCCTCCTCCATGCTTCACAGTGGGAACCAGGCATGTGGAATCCATCCGTTGACCTTTTCTGCGTCTCACAAAGACACGGCGGTTGGAACCAAAGATCTCAAATTTGGACTCATCAGACCAAAGCACAGATTTCCACTGGTCTAATGTCCATTCCTTGTGTTTCTTGGCCCAAACAAATCTCTTCTGCTTGTTGCCTCTCCTTAGCAGTGGTTTCCTAGCAGCTATTTGACCATGAAGGCCTGATTGGCGCAGTCTCCTCTTAACAGTTGTTCTAGAGATGGGTCTGCTGCTAGAACTCTGTGTGGCATTCATCTGGTCTCTGATCTGAGCTGCTGTTAACTTGCGATTTCTGAGGCTGGTGACTCGGATGAACTTATCCTCAGAAGCAGAGGTGACTCTTGGTCTTCCTTTCCTGGGTCGGTCCTCATGTGTGCCAGTTTGGTTGTAGCGCTTGATGGTTTTTGCGACTCCACTTGGGGACACATTTAAAGTTTTTGCAATTTTCCGGACTGACTGACCTTCATTTCTTAAAGTAATGATGGCCACTCGTTTTTCTTTAGTTAGCTGATTGGTTCTTGCCATAATATGAATTTTAACAGTTGTCCAATAGGGCTGTCGGCTGTGTATTAACCTGACTTCTGCACAACACAACTGATGGTCCCAACCCCATTGATAAAGCAAGAAATTCCACTAATTAACCCTGATAAGGCACACCTGTGAAGTGGAAACCATTTCAGGTGACTACCTCTTGAAGCTCATGGAGAGAATGCCAATAGTGTGCAAAGCAGTAATCAGAGCAAAGGGTGGCTATTTTGAAGAAACTAGAATATAAAACATGTTTTCAGTTATTTCACCTTTTTTTGTTAAGTACATAACTCCACATGTGTTCATTCATAGTTTTTCAGTGAGAATCTACAATGTAAATAGTCATGAAAATAAAGAAAACGCATTGAATGAGAAGGGGTGTCCAAACTTTTGGCCTGTAGTGTAGATGTTATATCATTATTGAGATATTAGATGTGATGTAAATGTATCAACTATCAGATTTTCTATTTGTTAAAATGCTTGCCTTAACCCACCTAGCTGTTATATTCACATTACTGATGATTATTGATCAAAAATCTAATTGTGTCAATATTTTCTGAAAATAAAAAACAAAAAACAATAGTCATTAGGAGATTTAAAAATATCAAGATATATATTGTGTATTGAGATATAGCCTGAAAATATCACAATATTATTTTCATAAGTGTTGCCTAGCCCTAGTTTGAAGTGTTTCCTCCCTTGCACGACACTGTTGTAAAGCAATTTTTGCATACAGGCATTAATATGTCAGTGGGCTCACCATCAGCGTTGCCTCTGTAACGTTAGGAAAAGTAGTCTCACGCTGTAGTAATGGGGATACATGCACAGTTGCCATGTTTTACATTTCATCTTCTCGATCACTTACACCAAAGACACATTTGACCTACAACAAAGTTCTAATACTGAATACCGACCATATCAACGTCTCAGTATACTGTGCAACACTAAACTACAGCTAAACCAACATTTCTCTCTCCGTGTCTCACTCCACCAGGGGATGTATTTTGTGTCGTCTGTACTGCTAATGCGTATGAGCATGCCACTGGAGTATCGCTCCATCGTGACAGAGGTTCTGGGAGAGCTGCAGTTCAACTTCTACCACCGCTGGTTTGATGTCATCTTCCTGGTCAGCGCCTTGTCCAGCATCCTCTTCCTTTACCTCGCCCACAAGCAGGCACCAGAGAAACACATGACCCTCTGATCTCCTGCATCTGTTCTCACTTGGAGGGCTTTGAATCTGGGATTTAGGGATGTCCAGAAATCAGGGTATTTTTTATATGGGACATAATTATCTGGACTGTCTGTTCCTGAATCAGGAATGGCTGTTGGACTCAAGTGATGGGGGCATTGGAGCACATTAGGAAACAACTTTGAAGGTGGACTTTGTTGAAGTATGCACAGAAAAAACTTTACTATTGGGAATTTAATTTCACCTGCAAATGCAGACACTTGGTTTTTCTCTTAAATTCTTTTTATTCTGGCCAAAATGATCTTTTTCTTTTTGTCTGAAGACACTGGAGCTGTACTGGTCATGGCACATCCCTGCTTTACTCTTACACCTGTCAATCATGTACATCCTGAAGCAAAATATATCATTTAACTGGGAACAAAAACAAATACCCATAAAGGAAACTTAGTTCAGACATGTGTGTTCATTTATTTGTGTTCATTGAACTGGGAACAGCAAAGTTTAATTTTTAGAGCATTAAATAAAGACAGCAGCTTTTTCATGGAGAATACATGAAAGGCCATAGTATTTACTAGAAACAACAGTGTAAGCTTCAGCTCTGTGGGCTGTAGATAGCTTGGTAGCATTGGTGTTCTTAGGTTAAGGAGACATTACACATTCATCATATCATTGCACAGGCTCATCGACTGTTTGCACCAAAGGAAGTCAACACTATTCAGGATCATATTTTGTTCTCAGCCCTTTAATACATGACATATTGACAGTGAATTTCAGAAGTCTTTACTGTCTCGCTTTTTATTGTTTGTGCCCTTAGAGGTGATTGTTAAAAAACAACAATTGATCAACATTAGATTGACAAAAGCCGAATCAGGGAGACTGTCCGTTCGGCGGCTTCTCATAATCTTTCATCCATGCTCTCTTGAGATAAAGCTGACAAGGTCTGGAAGAGAGAGGGAAAATAAAATCAGAATTATTTCAGCTTCTTGTAATGATGCTCCAAGTATAAAGCCACCTATAAACAGCACAGAAAAATTTACAGCCATGCTAGTGTGTACAAAAGAATGCTCAGGGTGCAGATTTCAGGCAATGATTCCCTCCATAGATAATTACAGTTTATGATCTATAAAGTGTGTGGACTTTCTCCAGAACTGAGTAATAATCTGCTATCTAAGACTGTGCTCGTGACACACAACAGTGTTTGAAGCTAAATGCTAATGTCAGTACGCTAACAATGACAACATGCTGATTATTATCCAATATAGTATTTACAGTATTCACCATCTTAGTGTATTGTATTTGTATACACATTTTAACATTTGCTAAATGGCAGTAAATACAAGGTACAGCTGAGGATCCTGGGAATGTCAGTAGATTTGCAGATATTTGAAAATCCATAGACTGTGTAAAGATGTGTAAAGAGAACTGGATACAGCGCTGGAGACGGGTCCCCATTATTTACAATTAAAGTTGCTCAGCATAAAGACAAATAGGCTCGATTTTTGCATTGTTGGGCCCATAGAGTAAGCGCACAAGGCCACTTACCAACTGATTTACAGATGTTTCAATCACAATGTAAGTCTATGGGAGAAAGCCTTTTTGGGCCCAAGACCCTCAAGGTCTACTTCCACATATGGCCTCAAAGCTTGGCACTGTTTCTGTTGGCTTGGACAGCTCCCTAAAAGTGAGCCAAGACATCTTGATTGTCCCCTTGTTGCTAGCTATAGTGTAGGCCATAAAAACCGTGCCCTCGATGTTAGCGGATAGGATATGGTTGAAGCTAAGGAAACAGAAGTACGTGTCAAATAATTTTTTCCTAATGGTCGTTTCTGTCATTTTAGGTACTTCTTATCACTCTGGTTTTAGTTATTTGATAACAAAAAAGGGTATGATGCATTGACACACTTGTGGGTGAATGAGTGGGACCTTGAGAAGGCTCCACTCCCACTGCACAGACTCTGGCTTCAAATGACTTCACCAGCACAAGATGGCAGCGGCCGTATTCAGGAAATTTTGTCTTCAGTTTTGTACAGTGGGAAAAGATGAAGACGCATCGTCCATCTTTATATTAAGCCTGGGATTAAACTAAACTAAATAGATGACCTTATGATGCTGCTAAAGTAACATTTAGAGATCACCAAAGTTGTTCTGATTAATTAATAAATATCTGTACGAAATTTCATGGCAATCCATCCAATCGTTTCATTTAAAACCACAAATGTTAACCTCATGGTGGCGCTGAAGGAAAAGTCAGAGGATCACCAAAGTCATTAGGATTCACTGTATGGGGAATATGATTACCTTTACAAAATTTCATGGCAATACATTAAATAGTTGTTGAGATATTTCTGTTTGTACCAAAGTGGTATACAAACCAACACTGCCATCCCTATAGCCACACAGCTAGTGAAAATATTACTGAGTATTTAAAAAGCACCACTCACCCTCCCTCTTGCTGGTTCAGTTGGGGTTTCAGGTCTGGCTTTCTGCTCGTATCTCGTAACTTCTTCTAGAGTATCTACAGTGTGGACCTGAGCATAAGACGTTTCCCCGAGGAGCAGGCGTGTGATGGTCACTCCCTGAGCTTTGAGTTGGTCATAGACGCTCCTTTTAGCCACCAGCATCTCCAGTGAGTTGCCACTGCGGCGGATCATTTCCACCACCTCGTCGTGGGTGCTCTCCTCCACGTTTACCCCGTTCACCTCAACCACAATGTCGTCATCCTCCAGACCTGCCCTGTCGGCCACTCCACCCTTCACCACCTGAAACAAAACCTCCTGTCACCACTTTGTTTTGAAATGGAAAATTAATAAATGGCAGGCGTTCCTGTCATGTATACCTCCTTGATGTATTGTCTCGTGAGCCCCTGGATGCCGTTCAGGTGAAAGCCATAGGTAGTTGAAGTCCTCTCCATTCTACACAGTTTAGGCTTGAGCTCCGCCCTCCTTGGCTGAACAAGTGTGGATGGTTTGACAGGAACTGGTAAATTGATGGCCTCTGTGTAACTTGGCGGTGAGTTGGAATCCTCCATATCCTCCGAGGGGAGCATAGGAGGCAATTTCCCCTGTGAGGGACACAACAATGACATTATATAGATTGTCTGCAGTTTATATTAAAGTCTGACAGTGGTACCCATGACTTACCTGCTCATACATTTGGTCCGTGTCTTTGTCTACCACTAGGAAGCTGCATGTATTGCCACTCTGCCTGATCTTGTTCACCACCTGCTCATGGCTAAAGCCGTCCACCGATTTGCCGTCAACAGCTATTAGTCTGTCCATTTCCTTCAGAGCCGATCTATCTGCGGGGCTGCCTTTGTCTATGTCCTTGATGAAGTGGCCTAAATGGATTAATGAGCACACTGTTAAAACGCAGCTGTCTTACTGCATTAAAATACCAAGTTATTGGAAACAGTAAAGGGACAGTCAACCCCTGAATCAAAAATACATATTTTTACTCTTACCTGCGGTGCTATTTATCATTGTAGATTGTTTTAGTGTGAGTTGCCGAGTGTTGGAGATATCGGCCGTAGAGATGTCCGCCTTCTCTGGAATGTAATGGAACTAGATGGCACTCGGCTTGTGGTGCTCGAAGCGCCAAAAAAATTCATTTGAGAAACTCAACAGCAATGTCCTTTTCCAGAACTCATGACCCTGTTACTCAAGATAATCCAAAGACCTTTTTGTGGGCAGTGTCATGTAGGAACTATTATCTTTCATCAGAACTATACCCGCCAACCGTATCACCACTCAAGGACGAGAGGCTCTTGCTTGCGATAGTGCAACATTTAAACATTAATGGCGTCCTCCTCAGTTCAGGGGTAATGTTAGCTTGCCCAGCAGCGCTAGGTGGGCTAGCAGTAGATGCACACTTCCAGTGATACTGTTGGTGGGTGTAGGAAATATTTTCTACATAAACTGCCCACAACACAGTCTGTGGATTATCTTGAGTGATCGGGTCAAGATTTTTGAGCACCACAAGCCGAATGTTGTCTAGTTCTATTATATTTAAGAGAAGGTCGACATCTCTACAATTGGTATCTCCAACACTTGGTAACTCACAGCAAAAGAAACTATATTGATAAACAGCACTACAGGTAAAAGGAAAAAATGATTTTGGGGTGAATTCTCCCTTTAACATACCGATTATTGCTTTGCCTGATAGGTTCTTCTCCTCCCTGAGAAGGAAGCCATAGCCATCAGGTCCTTTGGTTAAGTTGACTACACGTGGCTTGTGTGGGAGATACTTGGTTGTGGCTAACCATGCTCCCATCTTCATATTCTTGCTCTGGTAGTGCCTGTCTGTTTCCTGATCGACCAGCAGGAACATCATGCTGCTGCCAGCCAGCTTGATCTTCTCCACTACCTGATCGTGTGTGGCGCCTTCCACGTTCTCCCCGTTGATCTCCAACAGGCGGTCGTTGACACAGACCCCCGCCCTGTCAGCCACACCTCCTTGGATCACCTCTGTCATGAACAAACCGTGTTCACCTAGAAAAGATGTCATAGAAGATATTGAAATTAAACTCTGAGATGTTACAGAGACAGTTCTCTTCTTGAAAACAACCTGGTGGTGTTGAGTCAGAAGGAAGTAAGCTTACCAGATCTCTCTAGTCATCTCCTCATGTCTGCTTGAGGCTAGTGCAAAACAGCTGTTATCAGCATAACACACCCAAATCTCTGACCAAACTGTTGGTGGTTGAGTTGCACTGTGGGTAATGTAGGTGCCAGATTTTGACAAGGTAGAAGTATGTGTGGAATAAAAAGAAGGGGCTCTGTTTCTGCTGCATCAATTTGATAGTTGGTTGATATTTATTGGGTTTCATCACTTTCTTGTAAGCTATGTCCGTAGTTATAAACGCTAGTATATCATTAGAAAAAGGTTTTCACAATGGTCCATAAAGTCTGCCGTTGTAAATGTTACAAAGTTGGTGTTAAAGAGTAACTTCACACCAGGCTGTAAAGCAGTGCCTCACTGCCCACTCTGGTTAAAAGTTGTCCTTGGCTGTGGTTTGATGTAATCAGAGGTCTGATCTGATGCAGCTGTCATGAGGAGTACACCACCCTGCAGGGTCTTTAACTTATAAGCCCTTTATAACGCAGGAACCCCTGCGGATCTTTAAAAACAGTGGTTCCCAACTGGTAGGTCGCAGGTCCATGCTGAAGAGACCGCAAGTGACTCACAAATCTGCCAAGTTTGTAAAAAAACACATTTTACTTTTAAGTACAGTGAATTTCCAGCACACAGCTTTTATTTTGAAATGCTGTTTTCTGCTGTAGAGTGAGTGACAAATCGACAGCTACTTGAAAGAGACAGCAAACTAGCTCAACAACATGGCCAAACGCAAGTATGAGAAATCCTCCCAGTCGTCGAAATCTGACACTTGATGAAAAAGCCTTCCTTAAATGTCAGCATGATACGTGGCCAGTCGCTTTATAGTTTAACGGCTCTCTACGG